TATTTCTATCCAGATGGATGGCAGTCTCTGGAATTCTCAGAGATTGATGTCCTCTGCCCTGGGTCTCTGACAGTCTCTAAATCTCACATCGGTCCCACGAATTAGCTGATTGTATTATTAATTCAGTGAGGATTTTCTGCAATACTGTTTGAGCTCCAACCCCAGCATTTCAGTAAAATCATAGAAAGAGATAGAGAGATAGATAGATATATAGATATATAGATAGAGAGAGCGAGAGACATTTTCTGCAATACTGTTTGAGCTCCAACCCCAGCATTTCAGTAAAAATCATAGAAATAGATAGAGAGAGATACATTTTCTGCAATACTGTTTGAGATCCAACCCCAGCATTTCAGTAAAATCATAGATAGATAGATAGATAGATAGATAGAGAGATCATTAGATAGATGGATAATTAGATAGACGGATAAATAGATAGATAGATAGAGTTCAGGTAGTGGCAGGTAGGTAGATAATAAAGACATGTATACATACATTAATCTGTACAACCTATTCATTGGATTCAAGATTTCTTGATTGATAGATGCCTGTCAGATGTTATAGGTATATGCTGATATTATTATTGCTGCCTTAAATGAGTACATGTAGCAATGTGTTATGATTATCTGAGGTGTTCAATTTGGAGTTTCCACTTTACACACTGACTATAATAAACATCTCTTCTTGCAGATCATAACATAATTATTAGAAACCTGTTTTATGTGATACATGTAACCATTCCAACATAGAATTAGGATTTTAAATAAAAATGTTTTAAAACACCCCATCACACAATTGTGTAAGGACAATTGAACACACTGTAACATCTTAATAAAATATCACACTGCTGCTTTAAATGTAATGTTACATTAGGCTTAAATGTAGCATTACATTTATTCAATGTTAGATTGTCAGTCCTTGGTATTGTGTGTAGCTATCTCATTATCTCAGGAATTTATTCACTAATTTGGGAATTGTAGTCAATTGACATTTCAGGAAATTTCAGATTGTAGTAAAATAGACCAGACTGGGGTTGGCTCCTTGTCACCCTCATACAGTCAATGGACATTGTTTTATGTCAAATTGAAAATAAAGATTCTTTTGCAGATAGCAAACTAGGCAAGTGTCAGTGGCGGATCCAGAGCCTGATCTCGGGAGGGGCACTTGTAGATTATTTAAATAAATAATCCAGACACAATAACCACTACAGCTCAGTGTAGTGGTTATGGTGCCAATAGTGCCGGGACCCCCTCCCAGAGTAAGTAGTCAACCATTTAAGAACAGTTTGACAACTTACCTGAGGTCTGCTGGGAAATGGAGCTGTCATAGGGCATAGGAGCAGTGGTGTGTGTGAGTGGTGCAATGTGTGAGGGGTGCAGTGTGTGTGTGTGAGGGGGACAGTGTGTGAAGGTTGCAGTGTGTAAGTGAGGGCGGCAGTGTATGTTAGGGGTGCAGTGTGCGTGTTAGGGGGGGCAGTGAATGTGTGGGTCAGTATGTGTGTGTGACAGTTGCAGTGTATGTGTGTATGGGGGGGCAGTGTATGTGTAGGGCAATGTGTGTATGGGGGGCAGTGTATGTGTGTCTGGGGCAGTGTGTGTGTATGGGGGCAGTATATGTGTGTCTGGGGCAGTGTATGTGTGTATGGGGCAGTCTGTATGGGGGGCAGTGTGTGTGTGTGTGTATGGGGGGGCAGTATATGTGTGTCACAGGAGAGGGGCAATGTGTGTGTGTAGGATGTGAGAGTGTGTGATAAGGCTAGGGTTTTTTTATAATATGTTTTTAAAAATTTTTTATTTAATTAAAATAAATATTAATTATGTCCCCCCTCCCTTCTTACCTTTACTGGGAGGAGGGGGGACATTTCCCTGGTGGCCAGTGGGGATTCCCTGGTGGCCCAGTGGGGAGAGTGAACTCAATTGCCCCATTGCCCCCCCCTCCCCCCCGGATCCACCACTGGCAAGTGTATCATATAAACCAGGGGTAAACAATCTTCTGCACTCCAGATGTTCTGGACTACATCTCCCATAATGCTCCTAACAGCCATAATGCATCATGGGAGATGTAGTTCACAACATATGGCGTGTAGAAGGTTCCCTAACCTCTAATATAAAATACAGGATTATTATTAATATTAATATTAATTTATGGACCGCCAACACATTTCATAGCACTATATACAACCACAGAATATTAAAACACAACTTTAAGGAGGACATGGACTATTCAGACACAATTTAAATTTTTTTTTTTTTTTAAATTTAAGGTGTGTGAAAGAACATTTGTCAGTAGTGAATGTTCCACCTAATCTTTTTGTTCTTTTTTATTATTATTATTTTGCACCATAACCATCTAAAACCAAGAAAGTGAAATTAAATTGCACTATTGTAACAAATAGTTCATAAAAACGAGCAGGTAAATACTTGCTGCACAAAACAAAACATTAAAGAAAAGTTACAGTTTATTTATAATCTGTTCAACCAACATACTAATGGGTGAATACATGTGTAATAAAATCTACAAAAAAATGACTATTGGATTAGAAAATTACTACAAGTATTACATTAAGAAGAAAGTAGTAAATATTTTTTAACATGTATTATTTTGTTACTTTAATAATTCATTCTTCATAATTCATACTATAAGTCTGTTCAGCATGTCATAAGTATAGGGGGAAAATCCAACTTTAACCAAAATGAAAAATAGCTGGATAAACCGGCTTTTACTGACACTAAATGCACTCGTCATGTTTACTGCCTTCGAAGTAATGTACATTAGTAGCCAACATGTCAATCTAAGCTGATAAAGAACAGAGTCATATAGACGTTACAGGAAGATTGTTACAATTTCTTTTTTTATTATGTGCCTTTGGAACCAATGAGCTAGCTGCCTGTGGGCAATCATTTAGAAATAAATAAGGAAGCTGAGGGGGTTATGTATAAAAATTGTTGCATCACGTTTAATTTCGCACAATTGTTTTATGTATAAAACTGTTTCTCCACATTCATTCATTGGGGATTTGTTTTTCTGCTTTTTCAGTAATGTGACAAAATAATGTGTCTCTCTGCAACTTTTTGTTATGATTTTACCATTGATTACATTCACAATATAAGACGCAGAATGAGTAATATCACTTGGGAAAAAATATGTGGAAATAAAAGGTACATACTACATTGACAGCGCCACTATTTAAAATGACTGAAAAATGGCACATGACAAAACAGTAGTGAAGGGCACAAACAAGTAACATGTGGAACAAGGGATAGGAAATCGAATAAGTAAAAAAAATGTAGTTGTGGGACAATGTTTTTTTTATTTTTTATGTATGTTTGTTAGCGTGAGTGAGTGAGTGAGACTTATTTGTTGTTTTATTGCGAAATTAAAATAGATATATGAAATAATAAAGTAAAGTAAAGGTAGAAAAGATAAGTAACAATGAAAATCGCGAAGATTAATGATGAACATGGTATGGAAGAAAGAAAAATCTAAATTTTGAGTAATGGAGATACACATACCTAGCTCTGATGTTTAAGAAAAAAAAAGAAAAAGAAAAGAAAAAAAGGGAATTAAATTTTTTGTTTTTACAATCACTATTAACCAGGGCAGTACTACATACTTATCACAAACCCAATTTGCTAGGCCCAGGAATAAATAACATACCCCTGTGCAGAAGTTGTTGTTTGTGGCTGGGATCTGAAGTAGAGCCCTTCTCCCTTTATTGATGTGCCAGGGAGGGCCTACAGGGAGAGAGAATCACTAGCCCTAACCCTGTTTGCAACACTTCAGGCGAGAGGGGTTTAATGGCAGAGATCTCTGCAAATAGTAGTTCCTGCCAGGAAGTATAAAATTCATTCATTACAAATAGTAATGTATGTATATTGAAATTTAGCTCATCATTATAAAATGTATGTATTATTGATATAAATTTGCAGTCCTCTGCTACTAGCCAGGGCTTAAAAGTTACACTATAGCATATCGTCCAAGGGTGAATTTCAGCTTGCCAATGTCTAGCGGTTAGTGGCTAGTGTAGCACTGCTACAATGGACAGCAATTAAAAATAGAATATCCTCTGCTTTGATGAAATACGTTGACAGATACTGCTTTAATGTTTGTTAATCAATGTTTCTATTTCTTCTCATAATTTGCAATGTTTTTCCCTGGATTTGGCTTGTGTGAACTGGATATTGATTTAATTTTCAAAATTTTGTGTGTAAATTTAAAAGAAAGCAAAGCCATCCATGTTTTTTTTTAAATGTTTTTTTCAACAGTGTGCATTTCAGAGAGGTGTCTGTTCCCCTTTAAGAAAATCTGATGTTAATTTTGTAAAAATCAGCAATAACCTTCCATCACTTTCTGTTGACACAGGAATAAATGTATGATTTTGCTCCAGAATAGCCCAGGCTCTTACCTTTGTGTCCCACCCTCTTTATTCCTAAATATTTGTCATTACCCCAGATTGTCTTGTTGGCCAGCTGTATGTCTATAGACAGAGGTCTCTGGGAATATTGGCAAGAGCAGAGATTACACAGCAGTTTGTGTTGGCTGTTCTGTCTACCCAGAGCTGCTCATGCAGAGAGAATTATACAGAATAATCAGTTCTAGAACAGGTAGCTGCTGTACCGAACCAGTGATGTGACACGATGGCCATCTGACACCTGCAGCTACATGTTTCACATGCTGTGTACATAATCATATATATTAACAGTATAGAGGCTATGGGGTATAGAGAGGCTATGGCAGCTGTAGGACTGTACACTGAATGTGCCAGGCATGGCAGGAAGGTTTGCAACAACATTATTATATCATCATCTGTTGAGGATAAATGTCACAATAAAATGACCTTTTGTGTAAATCTTTTTCTCTTCAACAAAAACTTGGTGTGTTTGTATGTTCTAAAGGGGCGCACCAAGTACCCTATCTGCACAGCTTGCTTATATATAGCACCAGAAGTGTTTGGTGATACACAGCCAAATCCCACTTATTGTTAAAAATATTTTGTAATCATGATGAAGAGGGTTAAGCTTCCTCATATAATGTCCAAAGAAGAAGGTAGGCTTTGGGTTTTGGGAAATCTTCTGGTTTTCGTCAAACTGTTTAAAAATGGTATGGGCATGCATAGAGCACTTGTACCTATAGGCATGCGCACAGGTGTACCAGGAATACCCAAACATACGTTCTTTTCCACTGCTAAATGTCCTTTCTCTCCCCCTGCTTAGGTTTCTATGGGAAGTTTTGCAAGAGTTTGGGTTAACTTTCTCTGTTCTTCAAGAAAAAATCATGACTGTACACACAGTTTCAATATGTACAATAAGCTGTGGTGGTTATGGTGTTTGGAGAGTCCCTTTAACCCCTTAAGGATACATGTAATATTCCTGCATGATTCCCTTTTTATTTCTGAAACTGTGTCCTTAAGGGGTTAATTATTAATTATTTGGTACGTATTAATAATGAGAATTCAAAGAGAATTTCAAATCTAAGGCCTGAGAGCTGAACTTGAAGCACAGCTTAATTTTCCCAGTTCGGTTATTTTGACCTTAAATTTTAAATTAACTTTAAATTTTACCTTGAATTCTCACTTTATTTAATAACCCTGTAAATATTAAATACTCAGAAATCAGTAGGGAACTGGAATTTCCTGGTAAAAAAGGATGTATTCAAAGCTTATATTATATATTCACTACTACTTTGACCCCTAAATGGGGACAGTGGAAAACTGAAATAACTAAAATTAAATACCCTGTATATATATATACTTTTTCAGTGTTTCTTTCTCTGGCTCTGCTTCTTCTCCCCAACTCCTTTCTGTTGGTGTCCCCCAAGGTTCAGTCCTTGGTCCCCTACTGTTCTCTATCTATACTGCCTCCCTTGGTAAACTCATCAGCTTCTTTGGCTTCCATTATCATTTATATGCAGATGACACGCAAATCTATCTGTCCTCTCCTGATCTCTCTCCGCCCATCTTGACTCGTGTCTCTGACTGCCTCTCTTCGATTTCCAAATGGATGGCAGCTCACTTCCAAAACAGAACTTCTAGTTTTTCCTCACTCGAGTGTTGCTACTCCTGTGTCTGTCTCCCTCCAAGTCAACGGCACCACCATCACCTCTACCTCGCAGGCTCGCTGCCTAGGTGTTCTCTTTGACTCCGACCTCTCCTTCACCCCTCATGTCCAGTCACTCGCCAAATCCTGCTGCTTCCATCTCAAAAACATAGCTTGCCTCCGCTCCTATTTAACACCAGACGCGGCTAAGGTGCTGGTCCATGCTGTTGTTTTTTCTCGCCTTGACTACTGCAATCCCCTTCTCAGTGGTCTTATGTGTTCCCAGATTGCACCGCTGCAATCTATAATGAATGCGGCGGCGAGGCTAATTTTCCTGTCCGCTCACACCTCCCACACCTCCCCCCCCCCCTCTGTCAGTCCCTACATTGGCTTCCAGTTAAATGTAGGACTCAATTTAAGATTCTGGTGCTTGCTTACAAGTCCCTACATAATGCTGCTCCAACCTACCTATCCTCCCTAATACACAAGTATGTCCCGTCGAGGCCCCTGTGCTCTGCCCGAAGACCTACGCCTGTCCGTACTCCCACATCTGATGCTCGCCTCCAAGACTTCCCCAGGGCTGCACCTTTTCTGTGGAACTCCCTTCTCTTCTCCATTAGACTTTCACCCAGTCTTCTCTCCTTCAAAAAATCTTTGAAAACACACTTTTTCAGGAAAGAATTTCATCTAAACTGTTAGTGGGTTTTCATCCCATGAATCCTCTCCTGCAACTGTCAAAGTAACCTACCAAGTTCTCAGTGATTACTTTTCTAGCAACCTGTTTCATTACCCCTACTTATACCCTTTGTGTCACTATACCCCACTCCCTCTAGCATGTAAGCTCATTGAGCAGAGCCCTCCACCTCTCTGTTCCTGTGCGTCTATTTGTCTGGTTACAATTATGAGTCTGTTAGTGCACCCATTGTACAGTGCTACGGAATTTGCTGGTGCTATATAAATAATAAAATAATTATAATAATAATAATAATATATACATATTTTTTCTTTCTTTTTTTTTCTTTTTCTTTATATTTATATATATATATATATATATATATATATATGATTTTTCACTTTGCATTGCTACTGAACAACAATATAGGTAACTGTGGTTTTTTCTTTTATCGTTCTATTACTTGCTGGCTACCCATCCTGTTTCAAAAATCTAAGTTTAGACTTGACTGTGTTGTGATAAATCATTTACTAAACTCATGATGGCACGCCTGGCACAAGTTTTATACAATGTGTAGTTGAGGGTTCTGCTGTGTTTTTATTTTCTCTTTCAAGTCCTCCCTTTCATAATGCAGATGTCATGACATGGTTTATGGGAGCACACTGCTTATGGCAAAGGATCCGTACTGCTATACAATGTGTAGCAAGCATCACTTTCTGGTTGGTGAGAGATCATTGCATTCTGCACCACACCAGTACAAGTATAGGAAAGTGTGTGTCTATTTTTTTTTAAATTTGTTTTTGAATGCATTCTCTAAGAAAAACATAAAAAAGAATGGGTCATCCAGCCTCAAGAGTCCCTTTTAGAAACTTTGTATATTAATACAAGGTCACGCTGCTATGACTTTGCAGTCAACCAACCCAATGTCAGGGTATTAATCAACTCATTTATTCCTTAAAGGATAGTCAGTTGCATACTTACCATTTGCAACCAACATTAACCACTGGGCTCAGTTGAAGTTGAAATTATAGCTGACTTGCTATTACACATACATTGCAAACTTGCTATTAAAAATCTGAATGCTTAAATCTATACAAAAATAGCTTAATCTGAAAAATTCTCCAACTTAACTATAGTCATAATTCAGTTATTTTAGCCTAAAATTTGCTTTTCAAATGTGTGAATAAATTCCTGGGCTACCTGCCAATCAAAAAGGCCGGCTAACTACCAGTGGACTATGCAGACAGCGCTGCTTAAAGGGATTCTCTAGTGCCAGGAAAACAAACCCGTTTTCCTGGCACTGTAGAATCTTGTTAAGCAGCGCTGATCCCCATCCCACTTCACTGAAGGGGTTACAGGCAGCCCCTCAGCGCTGGGTCCTGATCCACCCACGCTCCTCCACCACTAACGTAATCCGACGAAGGAGACCTAATGCGCATGCACGGCAATGGCGGCACTCGCATTAGGGTTTCCCCATGGGAAAGCATTATTAAATGCTTTCCTATGGGAATCCTGGTGACGCTGGAAGTCCTCATGCATAGCATGAGGATGTCCAGCTTCCCTTAGACGAACAAAGATCGTCTAAGCACCCGCAAGTCCCTCTAGTGGCTGTCTTGTAGACAACCACTAGAGGAGGACTTAACCCTGCAGGGTAATTATTGCAGTTTCTCAGAAACTGCAATAATTACCATTGTGGGGTTAAGTGACATGGGACATTGCACCCAGACCACTTCAATGAGCTGAACTGGTCTGGGTCCCTACAGTGTCCCTTTAAGCACTCCGAGACAGCGCTGTTTAAGTATGAATGCATCTAACGATGTGTTCCCTCTATGCTTTTTGAGGAAAGTTCCCTGATGTCCCCTAGCACTCACTTGTCCTCTCCTCTCCTTACCTTCTTACTATAAGGAAGTAGCTCCTGCTATGCAGCCTGGGACAGAGAAATTAGTGAATGTAGAATTAAGGGGACATGCCACAGTGTTAGAAAGACTGAAACAGAAAGAACATTTGCACAGTGCGCAAAGTAAACTTTGTCTTAACTAATTTATAGTCAGCCAATTCACACAAGTTTTGTTCCCCTACATCCCTTCTAAGTTCTAAATGGTGGGGAGGAACAAAAAGAGACCAAGCTCCAGCCTCACACTCCCATCAGCCACAGCCAGCATCAGCAGGACCCCCAAGGAAACCACCATCATAAACACAAAAAGTTTTTTAACATGAGGGTGGCTACAAATATAAAAAGTATGACAAGTATGTGTGTATCTATCTAGGTCTGTGTCAGATTGTGTTTGTGTATCTGTGTGTCAGTGTGTGTGTATGTGTCATTGTGTATACCTGTGTCAGGGTGTGTGTATGTGTCACTGTGTGTATGTATGTATGTATGTATGTGTCAGTGTGTGTATCTGTGTGTCAAGGTGTGTGTACCAGTGCCTGTATCTTTGTCAGAGTGTGTGTATGTACCAGTGAGTGTATCTTTGTCAGGGTGTGTATGTGTCAGGGTGTGTGTATGTGTCAGTGTGTATATCTATGTGTCAGGTTGTGTGGATTAAAACACCAAATTATATCTTCGTTGCATATATATATACACACTCACACATACAACAGTATTCAAATGGTATTCAGCAATGTATAAAACAATCTAAAATTAAAAAAGCATTTTTTAAATCATATTTTTAATCATACTATTATGATTATACATTGGTGAGAATCAAAGGGACACAACAGACCCTCTAAACCACTTCAGCTCGCTGAGGTGCTTTATGTGTGAACAGTCTGTCCTCTTTATTTAATTTTACAAAAAGTGCAGATATCAAGAGAAATTGTCACTTTTATACATTAACCTTATTACACCCCGACTGCCTGTTACTACCTGGTTTGTTTAGCTCAATGGAGCTAGAGGCAGTTGCCCAGAGCACCTGCCTTGAAAAGACTTCTCATTGAGCTACATTGGGAAGTCTGTGATTGGACAGCCATAGAAGTCTGGGCGGGGATAGAAGGGGAGGGCTTGCAAAGGCAGCAGACAAGATATCTGCAGCATTTGCAAGTTGCTGTTATTTATACCCAAAGTTTTAAAATATGTATAATTAAATGCATGCATGTTTCCATTGGGGTCTCATCTAATAAACAGTGAGTTTTCATTTTTTAAATTTTTTTATTTGGGCAGTGAAGTGTCCCTTTAAAGCAGGGTTGTCCAAACTCTGGCCTTCCAGCTGTCGCTGAACTACAACTCACATGATTAATTGAATTAAATAGATAGTCATTGAATCAAGAGAGTTGTAATTCAGCAACATCTGGAGGGCCAGAGTTTTGAGAACCCTGCTTTAAGGGAAGGGAATTCAGGGGTAGGAAAATGAGGTGAGGGGTTGAGAAATCCACAATAGATCTGTCAAGCATTGAAGTAAAGAAAATATTTGAATTCCTTGCACCAAATGCACCTTTGTTTATTTGAATACCATTTAAAACGGCACTATGTTGTGTGCGTTGTTTTTTTTTTCTCTTTCCATTTTCGTTTTCCTATGCCCCTGGTATCTTGAGGATTATGCCTTTATATATATTTGTTTCTTCCTTGCACTGAATCTCATTGCCTGGGCGCCCTCACTTTGTTGTCTTAGCACTTCTTTTGATTGATGGATTATGGGTAAATCATAACTAGGGGCGGGAATGTACTTTGGCCCACTAAATCTGTAAAATAAATAAATACATACATTTTGTGTATTCCTTTGCACCACTGCCAATCCCCTTTTGTTAGGGAAATTACTTATGCACAGGCACACATGTTGATATACATAGACTCCTACACTGACTAATATACACACTCATTCATCCACACACAGACTTAGATTTTTATTATGATTATTTTTATTATTTTATTTTTTTTAAATAAAACCCAGCCTCCCTTTTCTTACCTTTAAAGGGACAGCTGGCGTGGAATCTCATTCTGGTGTTTAATGGGGAGCTTCAGTTATCAGTGTCTGTACTGAGTGACGTCATATGCCAGCTCCAGCATCAATGCAGGGTGCACAAAAGAACTGGGTAATCAGTACAGAGACTGATTCCAGCAGCCCCTTGGGTGCCCACTCTGCAGCTACAATGACAGAGCAGCCGCGCAGCACCATGCATGCAACATGCTGGTAAATAGGTGCCTGCTATGGCTCCCTCTACCTCCTTGTCACCCTGGGAGGACTGCCCCCCTCATGTGCTTCTGAGAAGGCCCATTTAAAAAAAAAATGTATAACTAAAAAAACTAAAAGGAATTTCTACATTATAAAAAACAAGGGAAATAGAGGGACAAAAATTCAGTTAAAAACAACACCTATAAAGTGTAAGTGTTGCTTTAATCTGGTTGTTTATGAAACCTGTCTGCGTTCTCTGTCTTGGATCATCATGCGAAGTGGTCCACATGTGTTAGAGATGGGGATTGGGAGAGAATAAGCTTATTATACCATCTCCTAAATATACTCATCTATGTGCTTGTGAGAGGGCATTTAGATAAATGGCAGGTCCTCAGGAGTTAGGATTTCCAGAGAAGTGGCATGAACTCCAGCACAACGCAAGTGTCTGCAGAGTATATTAATAGGCTATGAAACTGTGAATATTTTAAAGAATTTATTATTAGACTTTTGTAAGACCACCATTTAACTGGAACAAGCTAAGCTATTCTTTCCAATTTGACAATATAGGCTAATATATATATATTTTTTGTCTATCTGTTTTTTATTTCAGACAAAATACATGCAATACAGAAATGAGAAGAATTAGTCATAACAAATATATACTTGAAAAAAATATATGAGGAATGCACAGGGCATGAAAACCTGAATTGTACTGCCTCTTTATTTTGAAATACAAAATTTGGACTTTTACAATATTGGCTAATATTTGCAATTTATTTTCTGCAATGTCCAGTTTACTTAACAAAGCACCCACATTGTGCTCACTTACAGATGTTCACAGAGATGATATTTTAATATTTATAACATTTTCTACCAATGTATTGGTATCTATCCTGTTGTTACAGACGTTTATAGAATTTTATGCAACATTTCTTTGGGCTGTTATTGTGCTTTGACCTTAAACCTAATTGACTAGAACACAAGGGGCCTGTAATGCACTATCTGATAATGTGTCTTCTTAAAAGGGTTAACCCATTGTTTACTGGCTGCTGCTGAAGAAGGCGGATAAACTTCAGTATTTAATAAGCTGGGTCTTTGATTTGTTTTGTACCACTGGGGATTACACACATTCATTATCATAATGGCCTGCCTCTCTCTCTCTCTCTCTCTTTCTCTCTCTCCCCCCAAACCAGTTATGGGAGAATACTTGTCTTAAGATCCTGGGTCGGATTTTACTTGTGCTGGTAAATCCACCGGTACAGGCGTTTTTTTCCTGATGGCTAAGAAGCAAGCTCTTTTTATTGGAGAATTCAGTGCTTTAAATACAGCTTGATCACAGTGCAGACAGGGCAATAATCCCAGGAGGGTTTAAGATGCATCAGTACTTTAAAATGCCTTTTGCATCTTAACCTCTCAGCGACTAATACTTTTTAAAGAACATTCTGATCCTTAAAGATCGTCTTTCAATATATCTCATGCCGGTATTAAAATAAAACATCAACAGGACATTCAAAAATGGCATATCGTCTTTGGGGACTAGGCTGTGATAAAAGCAATGCTGTATCATTTGGTCCTTAAGAGGTTAAATAATAATATAAAAGCATTTTGGCAGGAAGGATACATTTGTGGTTTTTTTTTATTAGCAGTGAAGCCTTATTTCAAAGTCTGATGGGGGATGTTTAAGGGGGCATGGTTATTTGTAATTCATGCTGCAGCCCCCCCATTGAAAGGACTCTCCAATTCCAACATACAAAATATATATTTTTTTTAAATCAATGTTTAGTAGAAACATTCCAAATTAAAACATGCATGGATTTAATTATGCATTTTTTAATTGGGGGTGAATCTAAAAAGCTGCATCTTTTGTCTAAAGCGTATTAAAGTTCAATACAGAATGAGGGGCACAACCAGTAAAAACTTTATTATAAAAAACAAATTTGCATGGTACCTATGAATAACATTAAAACATAAATAAAGATAAATAGGGCTAATTATCTGTACATCATGAAAAAAACCATGTACATGAATAACACATATCAGTGCAAAGAATACAAAGTAAAACGTGAACAAATAAGAAAGAAGAAATAGAAAACCTCAGAAAAAATGGTAAAATAAATATTATCATACAATATAGACTAAAACATTGGGTACCAAAACAACTACAAAACAAAATACCAAAATAAGGAATACAAGAGAATTATAAGAAAATGAGAATATCCAAGGAAAGAAAGAAGAAATGCCCCCAATGTTTTGGCGGAACGCCTTTACCAAGATAGCACATTGAAAGGAAAATATCTGAAAATGTTGGATACTCCCGATCCTTACATGAACCCTCCAAGCACCATAACCACTACAGCCACAAACATGCACACGAATGGCGTAGAATTGAATAATTTACTTAATTACTTAATCCACTGTCTATGGAGCTGACCAAACTTTCATGTGTTATTTGAAACTGGTTCCAGCGTTAATTTTGTTAAACTCAAGCTATCTTTTTAGTTTATGTTGGAGTGGTTTCTCTTTAGATGATTCCCAAACCGGTGAGACATCCGATGAAAAAACTGGTAAACACGGTTTTCATTACTCCTTTGACAGTGCCAGGAAGGCTATCCAGTGGATTATCGCCAATTCCCCTTTTATCTTTCAATATTAATGAATGAGGCATTTTGCCCTAAAAACTGGTGCCTTATTCTATTAATTCCTTAAATATTCAGACCAACACCTAAATCTGGAGTGTGTGATAGCATCTTCCTTCCTTCAAGATGTTTTCTGTGTGTTTGGTTTGAAGCTTTGAGACATTTCATATTGCTATAGAACGTTTTGTGACAGGTGCTACTGTACACTTGATACTACTATGACAGTGCACTATGCACAATGCATTTTTCATAATTTCTTTATTTCCTGAATGTGTCAATCCATTTCTAGGTTTCCTTTCCAAATGTTTACACTTAAATTATCAAAATCAATATATCACACTGGACAACAATCAGGATTATTCACTAAAGTGAGCATTGTTGAGAATTCCAAGTGAATTTCATATTTAAGGGCAAAGTAGTTGAGACGGAAGTATAGTTGACTGGGAGTATTGTTTCAAATCACTTTGAATTCCTGACAATTTTCAATTTAGTAAATTACCTCGTGTGAATAAATCTGATTGAAATACGTCAGGAGGTCATAATTGCTCATGCCTCCCAACCATCCCAATTTCGTCGGTACAGTCCTGCTTTTGGGGACATCAGGGATCTGTCCCCAAAACATTGAGTGCAAGTGCATCACTTGGACAGAGAGAACAGAAACAGTGCTTCCTGCATGTGCTGCTCTTAATGGGCTGGCTGGCTTGATTGGCAGACAACCTGACGTGCATTTACGCAATCCAGACCTGCAAGTAATTCCGTGGAGACATAACGCAACGGCATCACTAAACCGACCCCTTTATGCCCCTCCCACCAGAATCTCACTTAATGGGGTTCTATAGTGTTAGGAATATAACGTTTTATTCCTAACACTATAGTGCCCTCTGGTCCCCCATCCCTCGCGACCCCCTCCGGCATGTAAAGGTTTAAAAAACTGATTGACAGCTGCTAGAAACAGTTTTACTCCTGCAAGGTAAGCATTGCAGTTTCTGTAAACCTGCAATGATTCACATTGCACGACTAAGTTCGAACAAGGACACTGCACCCAGACCTCTTCAATGAAATGAAGTGGTCTAGGTGCCTATAGTGTCCCTTTAAGTATGTACTTGTATGACTTTCTTCCTAAAAGTCTAGTACCTGTACTCTGTGATTTTGACCTGGACTAATAAAAGGGTCTTGGTGATTAATGTATGTTATTGGGAGTTGGATGGAAAATTTCCCTGCTAATCAGGAACCAAACAGCAGTTCTGTCTTGTGGTACACATTCTCAATAATTATTCTGGGTTGAGGAGGACATCTGGTCATACTGTCATAAAAGTGTCTGACAGCATGTGGCATTCATATGCAGGAGCAATTAATGGAATCAATTATTTGCAATGGCTCCTATGGGATTCTCACCGTGATTAGGTAATTGATTTGCACAAATCATTTAAATTAACAAATGGCGAAATATAAACAACATTAATTCTAAACAAAAACTTAAACTGAACACTTAACAATTTTCATTTTTCAGTGTTCATTATACATCCCCCAAGACTTGTAACAGAGAGACCAGAAAAAAATATTGTTTTTGTGACTAAATATTGCCAACATATCTGAATATGTGACATATGTCTTCAAAACATGCACTTAAACTAAACTGTCTGAGCCTGAATCTTGATGCTTCAGGTATTTGGGAGTATTTGTGTAGGTAGATGTTTTCCAGAAACATGAGCCGGGGAACATTAATTTACCACATTATATTGACAGAGATTGGGCTGCATATAATGAGAAAGAAAAGAATGATATTCATGTTTTAAAAAAAATAATAATACAAATATTAAAATCTGTGAGGCCAGGATGCTTCCACTATTTGTGTTTTCTAGTTACAGACTGGTTGACGAAACACAAGTAGTTGAAGCGTTTATAATTCTGTATATTTCACAGTTATGTGGTCCACACGGAGCACGTTTTATGCTCAGTTTAATGTGAGTGCATAGTTAGAATACATACTCCACATATTTATTAGACATATTAAGAGAAAGCATTATATTATTCTTTGCCTTCATCTATAGCAGGAGAGCCCAGATGTTTTAAAACGACAGCTTCCATGATGTCTTGTCATTCTAAAGACAAGCAAAGCTTCGTAGGAGTTGTAGTACTACAACATCTGGGGATCTAACGTTTGGGCACCCCTGATCTAGGTGTGTTTTGCGATGTAATCTAAACAAAGGAAATTGTAAACCATTCAGGTGAATTTCAATATTTGTCAAGAACTGTTTCAATTCTCTATCTATGTTTCCAGATAATTTTATGTAAATCTAGAAATTTCATGGAGTCTATGTCCAAGGTGCTTTAATGTGGCCATGTATGAATGATGGTTACTGCAGTAGAGCACTTTCCCTGGGTGATGAGGAGGGACACGTACAAGTATTTTGGAGCACTGGTTAAATGATTAAAGTATTTTTCTTCTAGCAGGATTATTCACTAGACTGAGAATTCAAAGTGAATTTCAAATTTAAGGAAAAGCAGCTAAAAATGGAAATAGCTGACTGAAGGAATGTTTTCAGTGTGACAATTTTTACCGTGACGTTGAAACTCTCTCAGAATTTCCACTTTACTAAATACAGTATATTGAATATTGAATTCTCTAACAGGCATATTCACTTGAGTCAGAATAGTCAGGAATTCAAATGTGACTGAATGTCTAATTTTTAAAGCCAAAATAGCCAAACTGGAAAGATTGTCCAAGTCAGCTAAGCTTTCAGTTCAGGTATTTTGGCTTTAAACTCACCTTAAATTCTCACTTGATTGGAAAACCCTGTAATGTTAGTACATGAAGAATGAACACCACAAACAATCCCCTGATCTAAAGATATGCTCTGGACCCCTAAAGTACTTTAGCTTTCTGAAATGCTTTATGTGTCAAGAGTGTGTCCTCATTTTTTCATTTTGCTAAAAGTGCAGATTTCAATAGAAATTGACATGTTCATAAATTAACCTGGTAACACCCCCATGGCTTTCAAGCAGCCAATTGGATCTGTTACTTCCTGGTTTGGTTAGCTCAGTGGAGGCAGCAATTTCAAAGAGCACCTGCCTTGCAAAGAATTCTTATTGAGTGGCATCGGGGAGTCTGTGATTGGACAGGCCCAGAAAGTTTTGGAAGGGCTAGAAGAGGAAGTCTTGCAAAAGCAGCATACAAGAGAACTGCAGGTTTTACAAGCTGTTTTTAGATTCACCCCCAATGAAAATGTGCATATTTAAATGCATGCATTTCATTGGTGGTATATCTACTAAACAGTCATTTTAATTTATTTTATATTTGGGCAGAGGACTGTCTCTTTAACCCCTTAGTGACCTCGGTAGTATCAAGTACGTCTGGCAAAAAATGGGTCGTTAACGACCTCGGACATACCTGATATGTCCGCAACAAATTTGAGCGCTGGAAGCTTGAGCACTGTCGAGGCATCCTGCAATACCTACCCTGACTGCCGGGCGCCCGGCAGTGAAGCAGAGCATTGGAAGCCATCCGGCAGGCTTCTGATGCTCTGCTTGTCTGCTGAGTGCCTCGAGGGGTCGAGGCACTCAGCAACATAGAATGTGATGGCAGATAAGAACCTTTTGGCCCATCTAGTCTGCCTAATTTACTAAATACTTTCATTAGTTCCTGGCCTTATCTTATAGCTAGGATAGTCTTATGCCTGTCCCACGCATGCTTAAACTCCTTTACTGTATTAACCTCTACCACTTCAGCTGGAAAGCTATTCCATGCATCCACTACCCTCTTAGTAAAGTAATACTTCCTGATATTAATTTTAAACATTTGCCCCTCTAATTTAAGACCACATCCTCTTGTTGTGGTAGATTTTCTTCTTTTAAATATAGTCTCCTCCATTACTGTTTTGATTCTCTTTATATATTTAAATGTTTCTATCATATCCCCCCTGTCTCGTCTTTCCCCCAAGCTATACATGTTAAGTTCCTTTAACCTTTCCTGGTAAGTTTTATCCTGCAATCCATTAACCAGTTTAGTTGCCCTTCTCTGAACTCTCTCTAAAGTATCAATACGGTCTCCAATACGGTCTCCAGTACGGCGTACAATACTCTAAGTGAGGTCTCACCAGTGTTCTCTACAATGGCTTGAGCACTTCCCTCTTTCTACTGCTAATACCTCTCCCTATACAACCAAGCATTCTGCTAGAATTTCCTGCTGCTCTATTACATTGTCTGCCTACCTTTAAGCCATCTGAAATAATTACCCCTAAATCCCTTTCCTCAGATGTTGAAATATTCTGTACTCTGCATTATCCACATTAAATGTCGGTTGCCACAACTCTGACCATTTTTCTATTTACCTAAATCATTTGCAATTTGGCTTATCCCTCCTGGAACATCAACCCTGTTACATATCTTAGTATCATCATCAAAAAGACATACCTTACCATCAAGACCTTCTGCAATATCACTAATAAAAATGTTAAAGAGAATGGGTCCAAGTACAGATCCCTGAGGTACCCCACTGGTGACAAGCCCGTGCTTCGAATATACTCCATTGACTACAACCCTCTAGTGCATGTCACTCAGCCACTGCCTAACCCATTCAACAATATTGGAATCCAAACTTAAAGATCAAAAAAGTTTGGCATCACGAACACCGACTTATAGCCCCAGATACACCCGCCACCACAAGAACCTTACTTAACTGGGATACGATCAAACCTCAATTAGGTTACACAAAGAAATGACAACTCCAATATACTGCATACACTTGGCAAACCCCACATTTGACCATCGCATATGGGCTGAGCGAGGGTGCACGCTAGTTAGACACTCTATAATCAAGGGACAATGAGACATTCCCAGACTTACAACGCAGTTACGACCTGCCACAAAGAGCAATATTTTCCTATCTGCAACTAAAAGGAATACTAACGGACTCCACTGCCCTGACAACCCAGACATATGCGCAACACATAGAGAAAGCGTGCGAGTCTAGGACAATGCCCAAGAAACCGCTCTCCCTGATGTATGCAACACTAAATAACCCAACTCAACAGACACCACCACAGATAGACAAATTCATAGAGGCATGGCATAGGGACCTAAATACAACTTTCTCAAAGGAACAATGGAATCAGGCTTTTACAGCCCATAAAGGCAGATCCAGATGCGCATCCCACCTAGAGCTAATGCGCAAGATCCAGTATAGGTGGTATTTAGTGCCAACCAGACTGGCAAACATATACCCCAACACCTCACGGCTATGCTGGAGATGTTTACAAGATGAGGGCACGATGTTCCACATTTGGTGGACCTGCGCGGCCATCAGGGGATACTGGAGGACAGTTGAAGGGATGCTAAAGGGGGCACTGAACTCAGGAAACAATCTGAAACCAGAAACTGCTCTACTCTTCATATCCCTAGACCCACTCCCAAAAGCACATGCTGGCCTAACATACCACATACTGATAGCTGCCAACCTATTAATAGCCAGAGGGTGGAAACAACCAAGGCCACCGGAGAGATCTAGCCTTATCCAACAGATCTCCCTAAACCTAACATATGAAACGAAGACTAGCCAGCTGATGCGCCCATCACACCACTTAAGGGACGCCAGGCGAATATGGGAGGCATACCTGAAGAAGGTTGAGGAGGGGGAGGGGCTCGAACACTAACGAGAGCAAAGGGGAAGAAAGAGGAGAAAAAAAAAAAAAAGGTACCACGAATACTACCTAACCACTCAGGCGCAGAGAGGCCACAAACCCTATCACCAAGGTTCGAAAACAGGCATTGTGATAAACCCAGCTGAAGACAAATAATTCATTAGGCAAATGCGGAACAACCACCCACACTGTACATAGTTACCCAGGGGACAAGAGGCAGGAACCAAACAAAGTATGACAACCAAGGAGGAGACATGGAGTGATACGGTGCTCTTGCAGCCCGCTCCCCCATCTCTTCTCCCAATACCCGAACCCCTGTTTCCCCCATCCCCCTTACCCAACCCCACATTCAACGCAAGGTTATGAGGGTCAGACAAGTCGGACAGGGTACATGATCATGGTCAAAAAAGTGGGGGAGGTACTCCCACAAAGTTGAATACCTGGCCTGGTTCCCGAATGTATAAAATGTATCTTGAAGCATTGTACCTCAACTGCATACCCTCCCCTTTTTCCTTTCTGTACCCCAACATGTTCTCTGATAAAATAAAAATTGTCAAATTGGAAAAAAAAAAGTTTGGCATAATCTCCCTAAAGTAAACCCATGTTGTCTCTTATCTTGAAATCCATGTGATTTTAGATGTTCAACAATACTATCCTTTAACATGGTTTCCATTACTTTCCCCACTACTGAAGTAAGGCGTACTGGCCTATAGTTGCCGGACTCCTCCCTACTACCTTTCTTGTGAATGGGCACAACATTCGCCAACTTCCAATCTTCTGGGACTACTCCTGTGTTCCATCAGGCCCCATTGACTTATGTGTCTTTACTTTTGACAGTTGAAATAGAACATATTTCTCTGTAAACTCACATGTAACAAATTACTTTCCTTTATTTTCATCTGTAAATACTGAACAAAAATATTCATTGAGGCTGTCAGCTAGAGCTTTATCCTCTTCTACATACCTTCCTTCTTTTGTTTTTAATCTAACTAATCCTTGTTTTACTTTCCTTTTTTCATTTATGTATCTAAAAAATGTTTTGTCCCCTTTCTTTTACTGACTGTGCTATTTCCTCTCCTGTGTGTGATTTTGAAGCTCTTATAACTTGCTTAGCCTCTTTCTGCCTAATCTTATAGATCTGTCTATTTTCCTCATTTTGGTTTCGTTTTTATAATTACTAAATGCTAACTTTTTGTTTTTTTTACTATTTTAGCCACATCTGTGGAGTACCACCAGGGTTTCTTGAATTTTTTGCTTTTACTGACAAGGCTCATGTAATTTTTAAATGCCTTCAGCAGTGCAACTTTTAAATAATCCCATTTCTCTTGGACTCCATTTAAATTGCTCCAGTCTGATAATGACTCCTGTACACATCTTTTAATTTTCGAAAAGTCTGTTTTTCTTTTCAAAGTCTAAAACGTTTGTTTTTGTGACTAAGTCACTGTTCTTATATTAAACCACACTGACTGATGATCACTGAATTCTAAACTTTCACCTACAGTAATATCTGATACCAAATCTCCATTTGTTAACACTAAATCTAGTATGGCCTCTTTACGAGTTGGCTCCTCAACGACTTGTTTTAGAGACAATCCCAGTAGTGAGTTTAGAATATGTGTTCTCCTGGCACAAGCAGCTATTTTGGTTTTCCACTTCACATCGGAAAGATTAAAGTCACCCATGATGATAACTTCCCCCTTCATTGTCATTTTAGCTATTTTCTCAAGTAGTAGATCATCTAACTCTTCTATTTGTCCTGGGGGCCTATAAATCACACCCACACGAGTTACTGTGTGATTCCCAAATTCTAACGTAGCCCAAACGAACTCTTTGTTTGGCTTACTAACTTTTATTAGGCTAGATTTAATGCTATCTTTCACGTACAGGTTTAAATAAATTCTAGCAAAACCTCTGAACTGCTCACTAAGAACATTTGTTCCCTTTTAAAAAAGATGCAAACCATCTTTTTTGTACAGTTTATTTCCATTCCAAACAGAGCTACCATGAGAAACAAAGCAAAATCCTTAAGTAAAATTAATAAAATAAAATTTTTTACAAATAAAATATAAGTAAACCCCCCCCCCCCCGGACCTCAGACGTACCTAGTACGTCCAAGGTATTCCTAATTACTTACCTGATCGCCCCATTCCCCCGCCGGCGATCGGTCTTGCTCTCCATCTGGGGGGACTGTCTGATGGCTCAGACAGTCCCCCCTCTGCAAATTAGGCACCCTGTGGGCCATGTGATCACTCTGAAAGAACGGTCACATGGCCACAATAGGCGTCCATAGTGTTGCCTGGAAATTTGAAATTTCTTTATCTCCTGCTCTGTTAATAGCTTGTTAGACTCTGCATGAGCCTCATGTGAGTAATTAAAGTTCAATTTAAAGAGCAGGAGATAAAAACTTTTCAAGTAAGTTAACTTTGATTGAAAATAAAACCATTTTGTTTTCGCGCAGACTGTGTGAGCCACAGCCAGGGAAGTGTGGCTAGGGCTGCATAAACAGAAACAAAAGTGAATTAACTCCTAAATGGCAGTGAAACTTCAGAGGCATGATCTATACACCAAAACTGACCACAATATCATCCATATCTCCCCATCATCCCCTTCTGCTCCTCATTAATTACATTTTCTTTGCAAAAATGTGGTGTGTGTGTAACTACACATGTATTGCTCTTTATTCCTTACAAAAAAAATAAAATAAAAATTGGGCTTTATTACTTCTCATTGAGAGTATAAGATTGCGAGTGCGCTTGCTGCTTTCAATGACAAGCGTCTGGTCAATTCCCCGGCACAGCGTGAAAATCTGTGCTGGGGTAAGAAATATAGGTTTGTGAAAGCTGCAGATAGCAGCTCTGCAGCTTTTGTACGTTTTTATATAACCTAAAAGAAAACATCCAAATGAAAATACATGCATGCTTTTTTGGGGAGTATATATAGTAAATTGTTTAATATATATTCTATCTATCTATCTATCTATCTATCTATCTGTCTATCTTCATAAATATCCAGATATGTTTATATGGAGAAATGAAAACGTATCAGGAGGGGAGGGTATTTGATAACACTTGGTCCTGGGGGCAGCAGAAATTCTTATTCGGTCATTGCTGTATTTTGCATTTTCTTCTATAATACATAAATATATATTTCTAAACTCCATTATTAAAATTGCAACATGGTGGACTAAGAAACAAAACTGGTACTTGCATTAATATAGTTCTGTTTTTTATCACTGACTTGGTTACTGCCATAGAACATCAGAGCCACGTACTGTCTAAAAAAGAATAAGAATAACTTTTTTTTTTGTTTCAGAATAAATCACTGAATATTATTGATCCACAGCACCCAATGACCCCACTTGTCATAGAAACTTATATTTACATCTCTTTCTTGACCTTTGTTTTCCTAGGGGTCCAGTTTAATGAAATATTTACTCTCCAGCCATCAATAGCGCAACCACAATAAAATACTGCTACTACTGCTAATACTGCACATCGCAATAAGATAAAGGCAAACATGAAGCACTGAGCATGCAAGGAAGAAAACATTTACATTTATATGTATTTTCTATAGTATATCTATAGTATATATAGTATAGATTTTGGGCTTTTTTTGGCAGATCGTATTAGGATGTGCATTTGAAGAAAAACTGCAATTTAAAAGTTAATTAAAATATACTAATTTAAAAATTAGATACTGCACATTTTGATCCCATAATAACTGTTGATATTAATAAAAATAAATAAATATATAACAGACTAACCTAAACACATACAGAACTTACCATTGAAACCTTATAGGGACTGGGACGACAATTTGACCCAGCATAATGGTGTGCATGGACACACTTGAGTAAGCCTAACATGTGGTATTCTAGGCAATGAGCCAGAGGTCTTGTCCCCTGCTACCTCTTGTCTCAAATCCCCTTTGTATCCTTTAGATTGTAAGCTCACGGGCAATCTAGATAATCACTTTGTATAAAAGAGCTACAATGGCTTGTTATCAGCTTGCGGGCAGGGTTCTCTATACCTCTTGTATTTGTCTGTGTATATTGTACGTTCTCCACTACTTGTACAGCACTGCAGAATCTGTTGGCGCTTTATAAATACCAGTAATAAATAAATAAAAAATATAGCTAGTTTGAGGCACCAGGGAGATCAGAACCTTTGATGGCACTGATCATCATACTAGGAGCTCCTATGGCTTAAGGGCAGTAAAGCAGGCCCAGGACTGCAAAGTACCCAGGTCCAAATCCCCTGTTGGGCACTTCTGGGGTGACCATGTTATGGTTTTAAGAACGCCCTGGGCATGAACAGGCTCTTTATGATGGCAGTACGCATTGTCGGTTTCACTATCTGAATCAAGAAAGTCCTTGTAGTCAAAGTCCAAAGAGTGGAGTCCCTGATCAGTGTGAGGCTCCATAGTACCAGCTTCTGGTATAGCTGGAGAGCAGTCAAGGTCTTTGATGTAGGTGGTGAAGTACTTCTCATACCTCAGCAGGATCGGAATTTGCGCCTAGCAATGCCTTCTCGAACTGTAGTAAATCTTTAGTATGGACCATTAGAAGCAAAGGCACAATCTGAAAGTAGGTCTTATTTGGGCTTGCAGGAAGTAGTGATGGTGTCAATAAAAGTAATTACAGGAGGAGGTGCAGATGTCTCAGGAACGGAAGGTGGAGACTTCTCAGGAGTACTGGGTATGTTGTTTACCATAGTCTGGGTACCCTTTTTAGAGGGGAAAGGTTCAAAAATAATTTCACAAAGTATTACTTTACAGAGAGGGTAGTAGATACATGGAATAGCCTTCCAGCTGAAGTGGTAGAGGTTAACATAGTAAAGGAGTCTAAGCATGTGTGGGATAGGCATAAGGCTATCCTAACTATAAGATAAGGCCAGGGACTAATGAAAGTATTTAGAAAATTGGGCAGACTAGATGGGCCGAATGGTTCTTATCTGCCTTCACATTCTATGTTTCTATGATTCTATGTTTCTTTTCCCACTCTGGTGCAGCTGTGCTTAATTAATAATGGAGTCAAGGAAGTGGTGGCATCATACCCTGTTGGCTTCAGTCAGGACAGAGAGGGACACAGCACATTATTACACATAATCCCTTAGCTATCAAATTAGGCAACTATAACTAAAGTTCCAAGAGATGTATAACTGCAGAACTTGTTTCTTCCTGTGGACATAGATATAATACTTGCAACCAATGCACTAATGCAATAGTTACAGATTGTTATCAATTTGTGGTTATGTCTGTATTAACTTGACATAAAATTGGATAAACATTTAATATAACTTTCAATGACCGATACAGACTATTTGTTTACTTACCACAGAAATGAAACTGTTTTGTGTATACGAGCACATTGTTCCAACATTTTAAATGAAATTAGTTCAGACATACCAGTAATACTGAAGGATTCACAAATGTTTATCTTCGTCAGGATCCTTCATTAAACAACTGTGAATTGTTTCAAACTCACCACGAAATAGCACATTATCTAGTCGGCTGCTTTGGCCTAGATTTCCAGTTCCAGACAATTTATGGTTTAGTAAATAACCTTGACTGTGTAACACAAAATATATGAAATTAAATGGAAAGCCAACCATTTTATATATTGTAAATAACATTTCTGTAACAGTGTTCCATATTTTCCAGCTACTATCCGATATGATTAGTGTGAATGTGCTTTACATATCGGGGTATAAAGCTCTGATCTTCTATTACACAGCAGGATACAAGTAAAAGGCATTGCCTTGGTGTGGTGACAAATAGGATGTCTGGGATGTAACTCCCTCAGGATGAATGTTTGACTAATGGGAATAGGACTGAAATCAGCTGTAAAATGTTTGACTAATGGGATAGGACTGAAATCTGGTATAAAGCAATCAGTACTGTGAGGGTGGATGCAGGGTTCAAGGCTAACATCATATATCATTGGGCACCAATACAAACATACAATTCTGGACTTCTAGCACACCCTGAAAGCCTCTCCCCAATCCCTTTACTTTCAGTCCATTGTTTTTGATTGTACACCATGTCCACTACAGTTCACTCTCTTTGTAGACCCTGACGACCCGCTATTTTGTGCATAGAATGTTCATCATACCCCAGGTATACAGATTGTACATCTCAGTCCTGCTACATTGTCCAACTATATTCAGTTTGACCTATTTCGCTTGGGGAAAGGAATGCAAATATGATGGGTGTTGAGCTGGTGCCTAATGCCTGCCTTAGTTTTCCATTTTTAGCCGTGCTGGTCTGAATAGGTTATGGCCATTCCTTACAAAACATTAGTTTAGTTTTGTCCGCATTGAGATTAAGGGGAGGGGGGGGTTATTTTTTTGTGTGGATGTCTCTGAGTACTGCTGCGAAGGGAGACGCATATTTTTCTGCCACTATGATATCTCAATGATGAGTGCATGATGAGTGTAGCCATTGAGATATTATGCCAATAAAAATAAAAAACAGGTCTCTATCTATAAGTTCTTCGAGGTGAATAATATAGGTGTTAAACACTATAGCTGATAGTTAATAGTTGATGAGCCCTGTTATAATAATCTTATTCATCCACATTCCAACTCCAACCTATCCATCTGGAGCTCTGCCATAAGTATTTACATCCGTCCATTGACTTCTCACATAGCCATCTTAACATACCCTGCCCCGTGTGCATCCGCACACCACCACCGGGCACCTGGACTCCCTTATTATATCCACACCACATTTAGATCAGCCAGGGCAGAACTAGAGACTGTATGTTTCAGTCACACTGATACAAACTAAAGGCTATGGCAGGTCAGTTATTATACTGAAGTCAGCTATAGTAAAGCTAGAATTCAGGGGGATGCACATCATAGGCTCTTACTGAAATACCCATTCCTCAGTGGCAGCCCTGGTATTAATGACGTTGCATGGAAATCTTCAAAGTTGAGCTGCACTGCTAGTGACACAGGTTTCATGCAACAGTGGACATGTTATAATCTAGGTGTAATTCATGTGTAAAATGACTATGGAGTATTTCACAATTTCTGACGTTTAGCTGGAATCTCAAGATTTCACATTTTCATAGTCATCAAAGTCCAAAATTAATTTTCCTGCCAGAAATGCCAGTTAAAAATCCTTATCAAGCTCATGATTTGGTACCGAAAGGTTAACCTAAAAAAACACCAGGTGCTTTCCTTCTTAGGTTAAAGGTTACACTTAGCAAAGTGCATTGGTGATGCTAATATGTTACAGGTGTGTAATTAATGCATTGTGTTTCATATGAACATTATAGTGTGTGTGTTTCTTTAAAGGTCCACTAACGGCACCAAGACCACTTCATCTCAATGAAGTTGTCATGGTGCAGTGGTCCTTTAGTTTTGACTCTTCAATATAAAACATCAGTCTTGATGATTTCTGAGAGGCTGCAGGGATCAACGTGGTGAAGGAAGACAGGTAATTATAACCCAGCTTTCAAACCTTCACAGGACACACAGATGCACACACACACACCTATAGATTGGCAAACTCTGTAGTATAGTGTTCTTTTAAAGTACATTAAAATTATCATTTCACATTTCAGCAGCAATCGTTCACATGTGTATTTCTGTCATTATAGGTTTGCCCATTTTGTATTGTGGTTATAGTGCTTCATTGTCTTTTAATTGATTCATAAGCCTAATTGTTAACAAATGTCACTTATGAAAATCATTCGGACTATTTTGTTCCTGCAGAATTTGTCAGTTACTTTCATAGTTCTTTCATAGTTCTTTTTACATGTTGAGTGGAAACTTTATAGCTTTGATATCTCCGATTGTGTGTTTAAATTACATTTCTTACCATTCAGATAATGGTGGATTATGGGATTGTTACTGATATTGCTAATGGCTTATCAGCAGTAGTTAATATGCTGATAATGATCATTATTATTAACACGAGATTATAATTACCCTGTATATTGTTTCTTCATGTTCCTCATTTTTACAACTGAATTCTCTCTTTATTTGATACAAGTTCTTTCCTGTCGAGCAGCGTACTTCTATTGCCATAGTTCTCACAGTAATATATCTCATTCAAAACATAGGAATATGAGGTTTTGCAACTAGGTAATGCTAACATTCCAATGGCTACACTCAGCACAAACACTCTTACCTGAATTCTTACTGTTTGTATGTGTAATCTCCTCCATGCATTTGTTTAATTCCTATTTCTAGAAATCAACGTCAATTTATTTTTATTCTTTATTTAAGGTCATGGCATGGGAACACGAGTTAAAAGGTTAGTCCAACCAAAAAAACAGGCACCATGGCCACTTCAAATATCTGAATTGGCGATGGAGCTTGGAGTAACCCTTTAATGCAATGGTATATAATTATGTGTATTGTAACGGTGAATAAACATTGTATTATAGGGTAGCTTTAAGATAGAAAGGCAGCTTGAAAAAGACAAACATATCGAATATAATAATACCTAAATCCACCACTTGCTCTGCATGCATTCTATTACAGGAAAATAATAGTATTTTGAAACACCAGCGAATATCTATACTTGCTTGAGTTGGTCCTAACCTACTCTATACTCCTAAAACCGGACAAAAAAACAAAACATTTTTGAGCCATTGAATCTTCCCTAAGTACAATCTGCTTACCGACAACTAAATGAATGCTTTCACAGGCGCAAAGAAGGGCTGTTCAATCAGTGTAGCACTGCAATAAATAATTACCATACTAAATGGTAATGGAATCACAGGGCTTCTTATTAGTGTTACTTATGTCTGGTTCAGAGTGGGAGTTCCCAAGTACTTCTGTAGCTATAAAGTGTCTGTATATGAGTCTTATCTTTAGTAAAGCTGAGTTCTTGGGGTCACTTTTTTTTTTAATGTACTTAAGGTTTTTTAGATGGGTGGGTTTGGTCCCCAATAGCTTGGATTATTTACCTGAAACTGTCTCTCATGACAGCCGCCATGTTCTTCCTGTAGACCTTCATCAGCTTCTGGGAGATGCCAGGAGCCCAATCAGTGCTGTACTTATGACGGCTTCTTGGATAGGACTAAAATTGTCAGCAGACTGCGCCCTTTGTCAATCTCAGGCTTTACCATAAGACAACATAGTTCGTACGTATGATATTATTAAGTTGCATTGGAGTTTCAAAGAAGTTCCAAGTCAACATCAGTATTTCACAAAGATTACATCTTTATAAAATATTGGGAACTTGTGGCAGAGCCACTTTAACATCTAAAGTACACAATTGGACACCCAGATATGCTAGAAATGCAATTTAAATATATTGTGTTGATGTTAAATTTATAATGTGTATATTATGTTAACATTGCCTATACACACGGGTTAATTTTTCAAATCTGTTTAATGTTTGACATATTAAAATATAAGCTGTATACATAGTAAATGTAAAAGGAACGGCAATGTAACCCCTTTGGAACCCAGAGACACCAGAGACACCTTTGTAATGTAGTAACCAGCGTGATAAAGTGCTCAGAATATAAATGCCATACACTGCTCGCTCATACTCTCCTGTTGGCATATCATTGGGTTTAATACATTATTCCGTTCTGTAATCTGTGATTTTTTTTTTTTTCATAAACATTTGATTAAGTGTTTTCGACTTTCTAGATCAAGATTTCACATTAATGGCTGAAAATACAGTCATTCCCGAGGCCTTCATAGCAAATCTGAAAACCATTTATTTTCCTTACAGAGAACATCATGACTGTGTGATCTGCCAGCATATTGCTTCTAATAAATGCAGATGCTAATGACTTCTATCCTGGGTAATATTAAACTGTTATTGAAGGGAGAGCAGCCGTCTATTGTTACATTCTTTCCGCACTTGCATAATTCTTCACTTCCACTGGTACACAGACCATTACATGGTACTTTTTCCTCAAATCTATACAGCAAATTATCTCTTAATGATTCTATGTCTGATATACCTTCATTACATTTCAATGGGTGACAGTACCATAAAGTACAAGTACAAAAGTACAAGTACAAAGATGTATTCCTAATGCTATAGAACCATATTGTCCTGACCAGGGCCGGATTAAGCGCACAGTGGGCCTGGTGCTGACAGTTATGATGGGCCTAATTATGGAATCTTATCCACCAAAAACACTAAAACAATCATACCTCCCAAGCCTCATGTATCTGATGGAGATGGTGCTGGAGGGAAATTCATAGGATGCAGCTATAAGAAAACACATACTCTATGCTAATTTCTCTCTAATTTATGCTTTCATCTTTCAAGTAAGTCCATAACCCCTAACAGCAGAGTCCAGTGAAGCAGGAAGTCAATGGGCGGGGTAAAAGGGTGTGCCACTGGCACGAATCACGTGACAAGACCTGCCAAAAGGGGCGAACATGCCCAAAAAGGGGCATGTTTGTCCAAAGAATTGGAAGGTCAGCCTGGCATGAATGCATGTCAGGCTTCCTGCCAATCCTGCAGGCTGCCCAACTAAGGGCATACTATGCAGGCAGCACCTTGACTTGACATAAATGCGTCTAATGATGCGCTCACTCTTTCTAAGGACTGTCCCCTAGCACTCGCTGGTCCACTTGTCTCCTTACCTTCTTACTAGCAGGCAGAAGTTCCTGGTATATAGTCTGAGACAGAGAAAAGGTGTCTGTAGTGAGTGTAGAAGAAAAGGGACATGCCACAGTGTTAGAGAGACCAACGTCTGCATTACCTAAACTAACTTTAATGTCAGTCAGTGCACACAAGTTTTGTTCCCATACATCCCTCTTAAGCTTCCAAACTTAAAGGGGCACTATAATCACCAGAACAACTACAGCTTATTGTATTTGGTAAGTAGAATCATTCCATTCAGGCTTTTTGCAGTAAACACTGTCTTTTCAGAGAAAATAACTCCACTGGCCACTCATTAGATGGCTGCTAGAGGTGCTTCCTGGGGCAGTACTGCCTAGTATGCAGCACTGCCATTCAGTGTCTCCACCCTTTGCATGCAGACACTGAACTTTCCTCATAGAGATGCATTGATTCAATTTATCTTTATGAGGAGATGCTGATTTGCCAGGGCTATGTTGGACTTGTGCTGGCTCTGCCCCTGATCTGCCTATTTGACAGTCTCAGACAATCCTATGGGGAAGTATTGTAATTTGCTCAGATCACCACTTCTGAGCCAGCAGCTGCAGAATTGAATACAAGTAATATTTTACTATATTTAGGGAGGCAAGAAGGGGCCAGGGTGGTGTTTTTAACATAATAGGGTAAGAAATACATGATAGTGTTCCTGACACTATAGTGCTCCTTTAAGCAAGAGTATGTGAAGAGTAGTTAAGGTTGCCACCTTTCTTGGAAAAAAATACCAGCCTTAATCATTTGTATAATTAGTTATGCGTGACATCACATGATGTAAATCACAAGGAGTGACATCAGAGAAAATTCTGTAAAATCACCAACAAACTACTCACAGTTTGATTCTGCTGTATAGATGGATTGCTCCCAGTGTCTCAGTCTTGCAAGTCACCCAGTGTCTCAGTGTCCCTATGTATCACAGTGTCAGTGTCCCCATGTCGCCCAGTCCCCTAGTCTCCCAGTGTCTGTGTCCCCATTTCTTCCAGTGTCCCAATGTCTCAGTGTGTCCCCATGTCACTAGGATACTGGGGACACTGAGAGACATGGGGACACTGAGAGACCCGGGGACACAGAGACATGGAAACGCTGGGAGACATGGGGACACTGAGACATTTAGGGAAACTGGGAGAAATGGGGACACTGAGACCCTAGGGACACAGACACTGGGAGACATGGGGACACTGAAACATTTGGGGACACTAAGACACTAGGGAAACAGACATGGGAACACAAACACTGGGAGACTAGGGGACACTGGGAGACTAGGGGACACTGGCTGGGAGACAGACACTTGGGGACACTGGGAGACATGGGGACAGACATGTGGACACTGGGACATATAGGGACACTGGGAGACATGGGGTCACCAGGCACACTGAGACACTAGGAACATAGACACTGGGAGACATGGAGACACTGAAACATCTGGGGACACTAAGACACTAGGGACACAGACACTGGGAGACTAGGGGACACTGGGAAACTAGGGGATACTGGGAGACTAGTGGACACTGTCTGGGAGACAGACACTTGGGGAGACATGGGGACAGTTGTGGACATAGACATGGGGACACTGGGACACAAGGCACACTGAGAGACATGGGACACAGACACTGGGAGACTTGGGGACACTGAGACACTAGGGACATTGGCTGGGGGACATAGTGTCGCGGTGTCCCAATGTCCCTATGTCTCACAGCATCCCCATGTGTCTCAGCATCCCCATGTGTCCCAGTGTCCCCATGTGTCTGTGTCCCCATGTTTTCCAGTGTCCCCAAGTGTCTGTGTCCCCAGGTCTCCTAGTGTCTGTGTCCCCATGTGTCCTAGTGTCTCAGTGTCCCCTAGTGTCTGTGTCCCCATGTGTTCCCTAGTGTCTGTGTCCCCATATGTCCCCAAGTGTCTCAGTGTCCCCTAATGTCTCAGTGTCCCCAAGTGTCTCAGTGTTCCCAGGTCTCCCAGTGTCTGTGTGCTAGTGTTTGTGTCCCCTAGTGTCTCAGTGTCCCCATATGTCCCCTAGTGTCTCCATGTGTCCCCTAGTGTCTCAGTGTCCCCATGTGTCCCTGCTGCCTTTCCCCCCATCCCTCACTTACCTGAGCTGTAGAGCTGCTGTCTGGACTCTCTGTGCTGTGTAGCTGCTCCCCCACGGATCAGTGAGTAGTAGAGAGAGGCAGGGATATTCTGTAACTTCCTATCCCTGCCTCTCTCCACACACAGTGACCCCTACTGGCTGGTGCTGGTATTGCAGAGTAATTTCCATTTATTCTGAGAAAATGACCTGCATTTGTATTGCCGGTATTACTGCAATACCGGCACGACCAGGCAGCCTCAAATACCATCTGTGCCATTAAAATACCAGTCAGGTGGCAAACCTAAGAGTAGTGTGTAAAAAAAAAAATTTTTTTTTTTTTTTTTTTAAATGGGCCTATTCCATGGGCCTGGGCCTGGAGCTGCAGCTCCATCAGCCCCTATGTTAATCCGGCCCTGGTCCTGACACCTATATAGGTCCCTCTGCCTGCCACGTGTGAGAGTTTGGTAATAATTACCTCTCAGCCCTCAACACGCCGGTCTCCATGATCGCCTCCACCATTTTGGCTGAGATCATCAGTGTAGCTCAGCTAATCCAATATTTCCCCATATAGAAACATCGGGAGGCTAGAACACATGACTGGCATAATGTCTTGCTGTGTCAATCAAATGCTCTGTGAGAGCATCTGACTAAATAGCCAAGTTTAACTCAGCTATTGGGGCTGAAGCGCCTCAAGTGGCTGCCTTCTTGATGAATGTTAACACTGCAAAGGAAACGTTTCTCTTCCTACAGTAGTAGGGCTAAAAAGATAAGGACATAGCACCCAGACCACTTCATTGATTAATGATATGGGTGCCTATAGTGTCCGTTTAGGTAATAAGAGGCACTATGATGTAGTAAGTTGACTTTAGGGCCACCATTGCTCCATGGGGGTGGAGAGGACGAACTCAATGCAGTATGAAATGATCAGAATGTACATTGTTACAATTATGTACAAAATAACTACTTTTACTATATTTGTATATCTGAATGTATAATTGCATTCATGTGTTTTGTTATAAACAGACCTTAAATTGTTTTTGGTTACTGACTCTTAACCCCTTAAGGACCAAACTTCTGCAATAAAATGGGGTTAAAAGGGACACTATAGTCACCAGAACCACTACAGCTTAATCTAGTAGTTCTGGTGTCTATAGCCTATCCCAGCAGCGTTTGCACTGTAAAGGCTGCCTTTTCAGAAAAAATGCAATGCCTAGTAGCACCTCTAGGTGCAGTCACTGAGCTACTCTCTAGCTTTCTTATGGGAAAGCAATGGATTGGCTGAAGTCATTAAGATTGATGATTTCAACTATGGAGGCAATAGACATCTTGCCAGTTTCTGAGAAGTGCTGACTGGAGCTTTGCTGGGGGGGTGGGGTGGGGTGGGGGGGAGGGTGGGGGTTCTGGAAGATTCAGGAACACCAAGGGTGGTCTTGAATGTGCTGGGTCTAAGTTTGTCACCATGCATTGTTAGCCCAGAGACAAAAATAAAATCCCCAAATTGTGACAGTGTCACTTTAATGCACTATATAGAAGCAGGATTCTAACACAGTGAAGTGATGGGTTAATACAGAATGAGTTGAGGTTGATATAGCAGGTGTGGAGTTTATAAATATCAGTTTATATAAATCTCTGAATTCATTCCAAGACTTGGTGTCACAATGTGATTTATAGAAGATGGAGTTAAGGGTTGGACTTAGGGCATGGAATCGCTGCTAGTTTTAAGGGGGGCTTAGTTTAATATATATGGGAGGGACCATGCTACGTACCCTGTGGTGAACATGTTATGAAGCCACTGGTGTTTTGCTATCTAATAATACCCAGGGCTATTGGCACCACTTCTTGCCCAGCTTCCTTTTTTCTGAGATGAGGCTAAGATAGCATGAATTTCATTGCTTCCAATAACACAGTGTACGAAAGGGTTTTATTTACAAACCAGGGATTTATGGGGTACTCAAAATAAAAATTACTCTATTTTAGACCAAAATAGCCAATTGGTGAATATAGTTAAACTGGAAACATATTACAACTTACTTACTTGCACAATGCACTTAATGAAAAAGAGAGACTATGAAAGAGAGAGAAGACCACCAAGCAGGTCAATGGAAATAAATTAATGTCTAGTCCAATATTAGACAAGTTTGAGACACTGTGAAGCATCTATTCTTAGCAAAGATATCCAATTATTTCTATACATGATACCATAGCCAATAAACATCCATTTACAAATAAAGGTAAACAAATTAAAAACAACCACTAAAATGCATATACACAAAATTAGCGGAGTATAAATTATTTTACAGGAGTATGGCCAACAAATATAATTCTATATAGAACAATGTGTTATTATAAACAGGAGATTGGAATTCCAGCTCATATTAAACCACATTGATTGTTCAATGATAGAGTCAGGCCTCGTTCCTAACGTGTGCAAATTAGAAGAGGAAACCTAGATAGCTGCTTTTTCTCAAATTTGTAACATTAATTGAGCATTCAATGCATAGTAACTATAAACTGTTTCTAAAAAGTGCTGAATTAACTGACAATTGGGTACATTCTAATCCAGGGATAGGCAACCTTCGGCACTCCAGATGTTGTGGACTACATTCTCCATAATGCTCTTAGACACATAATGCTGGCAAAGCATCATGGGAGGTGTAGTCCAAAACATCTGCAGTGCCGAAGGTTGCCTCTGCCTGCTCTAATCAATAGAGAGTAAGAGCAATAATGTTAAAACTGATGCCAGACACAGGACAGATATACTAACATTGTAAGCATCTTGTCCCTACAAAGTGCTATTACTAGACTTCTATATAATAAGAAACATACAGTTCCAATTACAAAATAAGAATGTGCAGACCTCCTCTGAAAGTGGCATTAAAGTGACAGAGTATAAAACAGGTTGTGCCACTGTATAGATAATCCCAGTAGAAGTTAATAGAATAAAACAGTAAGAAAAGGTTATGACATATATATGAATAAATAGAAAAAATATAGACAGTGATAAAGTGATCTTAGTAATCGCTAGTTCTTATAAAAGTAATAGCTTAGCTGTCCCTAAGGCAATGACACGGGCCATTAAATAATAATCCTATACATAGCTACGATGCTATAAGTAGGTTGTATGGTACTTCCCTCGGAGCGTCCCTGGTAGTTTAAATCAGGGATGCCCTGGACAGCACTATATGAATCTGTATATGCCAGCTATGCATCCCTTGCTTTAGATAAATGTTATGCTAATATTTTTTTAATCTACAAGTGCTCGGTAGAGAAGGGGCTAATGAACTCATCACTTTAAATGCATTCAGCTTTATATTCGTATGTTGCCACATTCTAACTTTTCTTCCATATCTTCTTCCACACAGAGATTCCTCGCTGCTCTGGATGTAACGAGCACATCCTGGATAAATTTATCCTGAAGGTTCTAGATCGTCATTGGCACAGTGCTTGTCTCAAGTGTTGCGAGTGTCAGATACCTCTGACTGAGCGCTGCTTCTCTCGTGCAGGGAATGTGTATTGCAAAGAAGACTTTTTCAAGTGAGTTCCAAATGTTACCACAATTACCTCAGTATTGTTGTTTTTTTTTAGTTATACTGAGAAAGGCTCAGTTCCAGGTCCGGGTTTTTTTTCATCTTGTTTAAATAAAGGTGTTGATGGTAACTAATTTGTAGGCATGAGCACAGACAGAATCCAAATCAGTTTGGCTGTAATAAAAATTATTCGGACAAGCCAAATTTAATTCATTTTCGTTAAATAAAAGTAGGTTAAACTATTAGATTATTTTTTAACCTCACAGCGAGGGCTTAAAAATGGAAGCGTAGGGGATAAACAGGCCTCTTTTAGTTTCAATCTTTTTATTGTCATGAAGCAATTCTAGACTTTTAGTATAATATAGACAACGTTTAAAAAAAAAAAAAAGAGAAATTAGAATTTTTTTTGGCTTCTTGCATGACATTTTGTTTTTGAAAGATGTAGTAAAGAAAATTAAATAATATAACATTTAAAACAATAAACAAAATACACAAAGCTAATCTAAACTAAACATGCTCTAAGCATTCTAGGTATTTGGGCTTTGAGTTGGTTCGGGGTTGGGAGTAACAAATTTGAGGTGTTTGGTTTTGGAAGGTTGGCGTTATTGGGCTATGGGTGTTGGCCCACCACAACTCCAGTCAGATACCAGCCTGTAAATTCAAAAATAGACATTAGTTTTAATTGTGTAGTTCAGTCTAGTGTTTTGATATATGGCCACCAGGTAAGAAAGAATAACTTCGCTAATGTACTTTTACTTAACAAGGTTTCCACCCATTCATGTGGAATAGGTAAGGAATGTTCATGTGGAGTAGTGCTGGTGAAGGGGAGAGCTGTGTCCATATATGGGATATACTTTTAAGTGCTGGGTTATATGGGTTAGTTTTGTAACTTTAAATGTTCCATTGTTATCCTTAGTACTGCTAATAACGGTGAGATTTTAAAGGCATAGCCTAGTAATTGTGTTATATAGTTTGCCACCTGTTTCCACAAAACAGGTCTCTTTTAATGCTAAGCCTGTTAAAAAGATTATGGGTGTCAATATGACGCCTCCAATAAATACAAGGGAAGCATAAGCCATGTTGCAGGATGGGGTATGTCTGCTAAACAGCAAGCAGTGAAAAACGCGAAGGAAATTTTTTACTGAACTCATTTAATGTTGCAAGATACCCCTGAATTGGGGCAAATTGCCGAGGTGAACTTTCTGTAGCTGTATCTAGATTTTTTAAAAAAATGGGTGAATAACACACAATGTTTAGAATGTTAAAAGAAAAAGGAAAGAAGTTCTATTTTTTAGTGAGAGTCAAGAACCGAGAAGAATCTTTATTTATGATCTTTTTTTCATGTTTACAAAGTTCTTACTGGAAAAGTTAATACATTGTCTGCCCGGCACTGCATTTTCCTGATCCATCTCTCAAACAGTCAGTTCAGGGTCTGAGAGAAATATCTTATGTCTCGAAATTGAAATGTAATCTGGAATGTTCTTAATCACAGTCAAGTATATTGACCTGATTAATAGTATTTCGCTGGTTTATCTGACGTCCTATAAACTTACTAGCCTTGTGTGATTCTTTGAATACAAATTCCTACTTTAAAGTAGGGAAAAAAAAAACGAACAAAACTTGGAACCAGCTAAATAAATTAATTTTTCTGTGATTTTAGATTTGATTTTAAAAAAGAAAGTTGTAATCGGAAGATTTAAAATTACAGAGGCCTAAATCATGTGGTTCTGTTTAATGAACTTGTACATCATACACCGTTTTAGTGTGCAGGAATTAATGGCACGTTTTGCTTAACAAACATTGCTAAAGTTGCACATGTAAATATATATTGTCATTAAAGGAAAACCGTCACTTCTCTCAAAATGGCATCATTGAATAAAAACTTATAACATATGTTAAAGGAACATGTTCAAACAGCCATTTTTAAAATTGTTTTGTATTTAGTTGTATTATTTTATTTTTATTCTTCTATGTTCCTAAACCATTTTACATTGCTGGGCATCCCCCTTTTTTTTCTCATCAGAGCAGCACAATACTCCCTCATTGACATCATCATTATAAACATATGTCACATGTATGTCACTCACCATGAGTGGCCAATGGATCAGGTGATTCTGGTGCTTAGATTGTCCATTTAGTCTGTTTCAGGTAATGCTCATTTTTCTTCTATATTTATTTTAAAGATTTTGCAAGGTACATGACAAACTCATTGACTCCATGCACAGCCATGATACACATTGCGACTAGGGAGGAAAATCAGAAACATTTATTCATATATCCTCTTCTCTAAAACCTTAGTGCAAAGCACAGAACTTACAACCAGAGATGAATTAAGGTTGCACAGTGCCGTAGACAAGAAGCCAGCGGGTGCACATGCATGTGACTAAGCGCAGATCCATCTCGGGAGGGGCTGACAACCCATTCTCCCCGTTATCCCCCTTTCCCATACTTCAGACTTTGCCAATATAGGCTCTTCCCACACTTCTCACAATCTCCATAACCCCCTTTCCTAAATGCCCATTTGTAATCCTTCCCTCAATGTCCATAGTACCTTTCCCACACTTCACAATGCCCATATTCCATCTCCAATATTTCTCACAATCCCCATTTCTCCCTCTTAAACTTTTCAAGATCCCCCTATTCCATCTCCATGCTTCTCACAATCCCCCTATTCCATTTCCATGCTTCTCAAAATCCCCATTTCCCCTTCCCATACTTCTCACAATCCAAAAATTCTGCTTTACCTACTGCTCACAGTCCCCATATCCCCACTCATACTTCTCAACCCCCCCAAAACGCTTTCCATCAATGCCCATATCCCCTTCCCACACACTAGACGTTCCCTATATCCCCTCTTCCAATACTTCTCTTCAAGCCCAAAGTCAAGATTCAACACTGACTTGCCTGCTCTCCCTTGAGTTGGTGAGAGGGGTACAGAACCAAACATGGAGATCTTTTAACCTCCCTGACAGCTCACAGATTGCTCCCTCACTACCAGAGATGGCGCTCTAGATTTAATACAAAATTCCACAATCATAATGAATCCAGATCTATGTTCTCTCTAATAATATTACTCCATGTTGCCACATGTTAGCTTATTGATCCAAGGAGAGATCTAACGGCCATTCTGGGGTTAATTCATTTTTTCCTTCTTTGGATCAAGAGCAAAAACAGATGTGAAAAAGGCTGAATTTGATAGACGCATGTCTCTTTTAGGCCTATGTAACTATGAACTCTAATTCAGTTTCCACCACCATAAAGATATGTCTAAATGACCCCAACTTAATTTTGTGCACAGACTGGTTTAGCTTATCAACTGTTGCCACCAGCGGGTGATGGGAAATAACAGCATGTGATGGTAAAATCTCTGCCCATTTTTCTACTTCGTGTTTGTACTTTAAAGAGATTCCAAAACCATCAAAAAGAGCTTATTGTAAAGATTATGCCCTTATGAAAAGTTTAACTTAAGGCAGGGCATAGACCTTTTATTTTACTGATTCAGCTGTCTTTGAATATTGCATTCCTGCCAATGATGAATTTCCAGATAAGGAATACTGCTTCATCTGCTTGCATGCAAGGATTGCAGACACGTGTAGAACTGCTGATTTAGAACACTGGAAGCCAAAATGTATCTAAGAGACATAAAACACAAGCTACTCCATCACACCTAGCAATAGTATCTTCGCATTGTACCAGTGATGGTAGCATCAATGTCTCTGCAAATTAGGCCTTTGCCCAGCAGCTACCGTAATAAAAATACCACCTATAAGGAATTCTAGAGTACGTTTGTGCTTGTAACAAAATTAAAACCTTAGGAGTTTTGGTTGAATCCTAACTTCTGTAACTCTCCATGGATAGACTAACCATATAATAAATACTGTGAAATACTTTAATGAAATAAAGGCATACACAATTGTGCTCATCAAAGAATTAACCACAAGGAGCATAGTGCCTTATAAGTAAGAGATCCAGTACTTGTATAATTCATTTTACCTGCTCCCTTACTAGGCCAATGCCTTGTCATGTAGGACCTGCATAATGTGGTTTGGCCATCATTTCTAAACTGTCATTGAATCTTGCCTGCCACAATGGTCCAAAGTATGTATTCTGCATTGTTATAACGGAAGTCTCAAGGCTGCCCAGATATTGTAACAGATTAATAAGTGCAAGTAAAATATCAGGTCGTGTGGGTATCTCAGGGCTTGTGAGATGTGAATTGAGGTCAGTTTGACCTTCAGTATGGGGTGTGCACACAGAGAGCTTTGAAGATAGCATTCATTATTTCAAGCCATGAGATTGGCCTTACTCTGCACTGGGTGCTTGCCGTTGGGGGCCATACCTGTGAATGTCCTTTAGTCTTCATGCTTGGCTAATCATATTTCTTTTAAAAAGCTTTAATAATGATTATATTGTTCAACAAGTCTTGAATCCAATGATGATATAATACAGATATAAACAACATTGAACAATAAAAAGTATATACTAGGCAGGGGTATGCAATGTTTTACAGACACTGTGGAAGTCCCTTAGAGTGCTGAACCTTGTGTACTGTTGTGCTGTGTGTATATGTGTATGTGTGTATGTGTATGTGTGGGGACCATGGTTGTTTGTGTGGGTTGCCAATGTAGTTTTTTTTTGTTAATTTGGGGGGTGAGAGGGAGGTGCTTGCCTGTGGGATGTTTGTGGTATTTTTTGTGGGCTTTTTTTTTGGTATTTCTGTTTGGGTCTCTATTCATATTTGTCTCACACACGCACGCACCCAGACAGAGACACTCAGACACACAGCAAGTATGCATTTCAGACACATTGCCCAATATGCAATGCCAGGCATACACACAGTTACACACTGCCACACTCACTAGCAGACACACACAATCATACTGCTATACATACAAACACACTGCTACACGCACATAGTGATATGCACACACTAATACACACACATTCACAGTAATGGTATTCAAGTGACTTTTCTTTTGCTTAACTAAAATACATACATTTCAATGACAATACCTTCTGAACTCCTGTAGCGTGAGTAGCTTCAATAAATGCATGCATTACTGAATAATCATTTGTTGTAAATAAGTAGGTGTCCAATATTGATAAATAATATCTATCTGTCTATCTGTCTATCTGTCTATCTGTCTGGATTAATGGACAGATCTAGATAAATTAATGTTACAGGTTTTGATGAATCGATGGACAGACCAAAAATGGATTGATGGACAGTTCTAGTTGGATGGACGGGCACTTATAAGTGAATTAATTAATAGTTAACTGGATTAATGTATTTATTTATGCACATTACTGTATGAATATTATAGATTGATGGTTATGTAAAGAAGAATAGATTAAGATGGTTAAGATCAATAAATATACATAAACTGATGAAGAAATAGAATTTGCTAAGTTAATGGATATCCTGATGAGTATATATTGATGTATTTTTATATATACGGGGCAATACGCAGATAAAAATAAACATATGTCTATGCCTAGGTAGCCATGGGCTGTTTATTAATGGATAGCTGTAGGTTGATTGTTATAAACAGATTGAGCAATACATAAAGATGGATGATTAGAAAAATGGGCGATGTATAAAAATATGCGACTGAATGATGCACTTTAGTGGAACAGAGAGAGATTTATAGCGGGATGTAAATTGTTTGATGGTTTGTCGATGAATGGACCGATGCCATTGTCGGTTTTTGAGTCATCAATAGATGTAGATGGATTTATGGAGAAAAGTTGTGTATTAGTGAATAGATATACAGTAAGTGGATTTATATGTGTTTTATATATGTATATATATATATATATGTACATGTTTATTTATATAGGTGCACTTAGCTCTTACTGGGTACATTCTACAAGAAGGAGATTTAGTAAGTGCAATACTTATGCAGGCATTCTGTCAGAGGCTATTATGTATGGTGAAAATGTGATACAGTATTTTTACATTAAAATGAGAGGTCCCCATTCTAGAGAGCTTACAATCTAAGAATTAATATGAGAGAGATAGATGGGTTCTAACACATTGCTTGTTTGATCCTTTACGTCTGTCTGTGATTTTTTTTCATTGACACTTTCTTCTGATTACTATATATTTTTTGCCTCCCTGCTCAGGCGTCTTACTGCAAATCTAGTTATTTTGTGTTTTTCTGCATGTCACTTTACCCCACTCCCTCTAGCATGTAAGCTCATGGAGCAGGGCCCTCAACCCCTCTGTTCCTGTGTGTCCATCTTGTCTGGTTACAACTACATGTCTGCTCGTCCACCCATTGTAAAGCGCTGCGTAATTTGCTGGCGCTATATAAATAATAACATAATAATAATTTACTTCCTGTTATTGATTTACAGGGAAAGAGTAATTTAAGAGGATTTTTATATTATGTTTACCTATTGTAATACTCAAGAAAATAAAGTTTGTTGGAACACAATTGCAGAATTGAAATAAATATGTACTGTTGTTTTAAGAAAAAAACTAAATGGTGCTTACTTGATTAGGTCTTGTGAGCCCAGAACAAGATTCCAACAGCAATTCAATAAGTAAGGTTAAATCCAGAGAATATAATACAGTTCCTTTTGGATTAATTTATGCAATGTTTCAGTATGGAATTAACGCAGAGTTGAAATTTGAAAAGTAAGCAGCTTAAAGGGACACTCCAGGCACTCAGACCACTTCTGCCCATTGGAGAGGTCTGGGTGTCAACTCCCAGTACCCTTTAGCCTGCAACTGTAATTATTGCAGTTTTCATAAACTGCAATAATTACCTTGCGGGGTTAACTCCTCCTCTAGTGGCTGTCTACCAGACAGCCACTAGAGGGCACTTCCGGGATTATAGCAGAGATTTGTGCTATAGCGTCGCGGGACATCCTCACGCTATGTGAGGACCTCCAGCGTCGCTAAAAATCCCCATAGGAATGCAGTGAAATGGGGAGTTTTAATGCGCGTGCTCGGCATTAGGTCTCCCCCGCCGATGGGCGTGATTAGTCTCCCCCGCCGGCTGACGTGGTGACGGGGAGGACCAGGAAGCAGTGCAGAGGGACGTAGCTGACTCTGGTAAGTCACTGAAGGGGTTTTGACCCCTTTGGCAACCGGGGATGGGAGGTGGGAAGGAAAGGGGACCTGCAGTGCCAGGAAAACAGATTTCTATGGGAGCACAATTAACTGGCTTAATTAATGGCTGAGATTATCCTTTGATAGCAGGCAACTGAAGTGTTAAGCAATTTACTTGCAGTAAACTAATCAAACAACTTAGCCTGGAAGGTAGTAAAATAGTCAGAGCCGGTCCAGTGTTCAGGGAGTATAGAGTTTAGCAAAGTCGGTTTGGAAGATCACAGGTTCGTTACACAGGTAGATATCACAGGGAGCTCAGACGGCACTTAGAAACAATTTGTAACAAACTGATTGAGCAATTTTGGAGTAGCTGCGACTTCCCTTTAACGCGGCAGCATCTGATGTCAGACGCATGGGCTGGCTGCGATCAGCAAAAAGTGACTCCGAGGGAGTTCGCCGATTGGTAATCATGACATCTATACCCTGTATTTAACAAAATGTGCTTGTTAGATAAGCAGTATGTATTTACCTATATTCTGAAATGTCTCCATCTTGGCTCCCTGTCAAAGCTCTGCCTTTATCTGTCATTGAACCCAATCTAAGTAGAAAGGAAGTAACAGTGAAAGTACCATGGAAAGTTTCATTTACTATTACATGTGGTATCAAGGTGAGCCATTACTCTTCTAGATGTTTGTATATGCAATCTCCTTTGGCCAAGTTCCATTGTAACCTGGCCTTTAGGCTTTGTGCTGGTTAAGCATTATGGGGCATGTAGTCCGCACATATCTGCAGCACCAAGGGAAGCTTTAGTTAATGGACTAAATTCCCCTGAATGGGGACTACAACTCCCCAAATGCTCAGCTAGACTCTGTATCCACAAACACCCGCAGTTAAGACGAACCTTTGCCTGTGGACTATAATCTTCAAGGTGTTGCAGAGCAGCACATTTCCCATCATGCTCTGCCAGCTGATAGACAGGTAAAGTAACCCAGGTAATATAGTGAACAAATGTCTTCAGGGCCAAATTTTAGGTTACCTGTGTCAATGCTGCAGTGCCAAGTTCCTGGGTTCTTGCAGGAAATGCAGTGAGCCAACACCTGGACTGACAAGATTAATTATGACTGTTTCACCCACTAACTGGGTTACCATTGAAGAACATAAACATATTTCATAAACTATAGTTACTTAAAAGAGAGAATGCTATATTTTAACACAGGGGTACATACATTTTATTGCTATAAATATGGATATTGTTTTGCTTCCGATTTAATATAATATTGTAATTGTTAAAACAAATTCTCATTGATTGAGGTAGCCCATATTTGCTTGAAGGTCCTACACAACTTTACTCATAATGCCTCAAAATAAGTTTCAATTTACCAATAGTCTTAGCCAATCAGAAGGTTCTTCAATACAATCACTGCAAAAATGTGAAAAAGTAGAACCTCCTGATTGGCTGAGACATGAGACTTGTATGGTGGAATTAAATGTATCACATGGTGTTGCTATATGGATTAACAGTTAATGGCTTGTTTGATAACAACATATTAGTAGGTAAGAAAGTGGAATGAGGTGAAACAAATAGATGGTTTAATTTAAAAAAATATATATTGTATGCAGGATTGGTTAACATTTGTCAAATATAGAATTGCATAATTCATACAAGGTTGGGAAATAATTTTAGACATATTAATTATTAGTGTGTATATTTATCAGCATACGTTTGCTAGATGCTGTTTGGGAAAAATAGATTGGTAGACTGATAGACTTATTGGTGGATTAATGTTTCTACGCTTTTTATAGCTTTGTACCAGTAACCTCTTATTCGCTACCAACTGCTTCCTAACAAATACTATCAACTCATGATATAACAAAGAACCCAGGGGTGTTGCTAGGATTTGGCATTATTTCATTACTAGCCCCGAGACCCTGTAATAATGAGAAATAATACCTCCGAATAACTTGTGACAGTGCCACGTTAATGCACAATATTGGGAGTAAATGGTACAGCACAATGTACAATTTACTGTGGGTGCAGGGTTTTTAATGCAGTGGGTGCAGGGTTAACGCAGTAATAGAGCAGATGTGGAGTTTATAAATATAGGTTCAGGTAACAATCTGAGTTCAATCCAAGATTTGGTGTCACAATGTGATTTATAGAACACCTATTCCAGTGGCACATTCTTGAATACAAAGGGTTTGAGATTGGTTTAGGACATAATATGGGGCTTAGTTTAGGAAAGGATTAAGTCAATATTTGCAGGATGGGCTATAAAATGTACCTTTGGGTTAAAGCCTCTCATGTTTTTGTCCCCTCCAGACAGAAACTGATATATCTGTCGGCCCCCTATGAAATAACCCTTAAAGTATCTGTATACACCCAGTTATTCTGCTTTCTGTTAATTTTCCACATTTATTATTGTGTTCACAACCTTCTATTGGAATAGATTTCTAGATAAGTCTCTAGAAGCTTAGTGAATCTGGATTTTTTTTTAAACAGGTTTTTCAATAATACTGCCTTCAGTATGGCTCCCTCCATCTTCCCCTATATACTGGCTAGTTTCCCAATCCCTGCCCATGCCGTGTATCTGCACAATAAGATGTTGCTACTATAATGTATAATCGTAGCAGCGATCATGCCAATGAGCAATGTGCATTTTGCCCCACATAGCACCAAACCTAATAAAGTCCATTGTGGTCTTGCAAAGTAAAAACCCAATCCAGGTGTTATTTTGGGTTAATGTGCTAAGCAATGAGCAATCGCCATGGGAACCAATAGAATGTCTCTTGTCATTTAGCACATTGCTCTAGAATAGCACTTATCTTCCTCTGTATATTTCCCTCCTTTTGTTTGCTCTATTGCAGACGTGCAAATCCAAATTAGAAATGCTATCTACAAAATCGTTGGGTTCTCATACCTGCAGTATAGTATCGGTATGTAGAATTAAGCTCTACAGACAGAGCTTTTGTTGTATAATAAAATATTATTAGGCTATACTTGGCCTTATTGAGCAATGTCACGTTAAGCAGGGTAAGGTATTACAATATAAGACTGTAACTCAATAAAGCGTGGTGAAGTTACACATGACCATGTAGGCATATAAACTGGCGTATATTAGATGTTTTACACCTCGTTTAGCTGTTGTACAGCACTGCGGAATATCTTGGCGCTATATAAATAATTGTAACTATAATCATGGGTATTTGCATATTCACTCTTCCCTTGACCCCAATAAAAGGCCAAATTGTCCTCCTTGCTGTGACATACAATATGTTTTCCATACTGTTTGCCCTTAAGTTGTAGATCATGCTAGTAGAATCAGGGATAAATAAGGGATAATTCAGGTGAATTTTACTTTTTTTTAAATGGCTTATAGATAATCAATTACATTTTGCAAACTAAATTGCCCCTTATTTTATAAAACCAAATTTGCGATTGCGAATGTGATCTTTGGCACACAACCCTCCCAGACCTTGCAGTATATATTTAATTGACGCTAAAAGGAGCAGTCTTAGATGATAATTAGTGAGAAAGTAAAAATTAAGATTATACTATATGCAAACCCTATCCCCCCAATAACTCTTTGATAAAACAGCTAAATGTTCTAGTCTACACATTTTAAATGCACATAAAACCGTTTTATTTGTCTTTTATTCTTCATAGTGTGCCTTTTAAGATAATGTATTGATGGTAGTTTTATATATATATATATATATACAGTACATATTGTATAAATGATGATTCCCTTTTTTAGTAGGAGAATTTAGGATGACATATTCCAAACTGTATTAGGATGTTTAATATGTACATTAGACATATTGCTCTCTAATGCAATTACATTTTAATAATGGAATTCATTTAATCCTAATGGTCTATTGATTATATTTGTAAGACATCAAAATATACTTTTGAACTGTATATCTCCTCTGTTAAATACATGTGATTGTATTGTACATGCTCTCGAAGACATACTTGAGAACAAGAGAATGCTCAATGTATTCTCCTTTATTTTATTTTATAAATAACTAATGTACACAGATACAGCAATGTGTAATATTCATACACCTGATTACATGTATACATAATAATCTTTACATTTTAGCTAATTATCTTGCAGGAGATGTTATACCTTGGTCAACCATAAATCTATAGATACATTTAGCAACCAAAACCAGGTTTTTATTTTTCTAACTCACATTTATCCTTAGAATCCCATCACACCAGATGCACTGTTATACCTGCCTCTTTTCTTTTTACATTTGAACAGAAAGGGAAACTGGAAGGTTTCCAGGTCTATCTGTAGGCATTAGTTGTAACTGGGGAGAAAACCTTAAGCAGATCAATTTTCCTGTTTTCCGATTAAGAGAATGCGATTGGTCAAAATAAAGTCTCCAAAATTTGAATGTGCATTAGATCCTATGGTGCATTAGATTCGAGTACGAATGATGAATTAGATTCGAGTCTGTTGTCTGTTGACAAAAAGGAAAACACAGTGCAATAACACACAGTGCAATAACACACAGTGCAATAAGGCAAACTGCGCATGCATACTATTCTCTCTTGCGTACCTAGTTGCTCCTCACTTTACGACATACTCAGAAAACGACCACTCGGAGATACAACAGGCTTACAATGCAAATTTGCCGAAGCATCACTGAGACAGGAATTCGAGACCTTGTACATGATAGCAGTAGTATCATCTTGTAAAAATGCGCATTATATTCGCCAGCTAAAATATTTTTTGGCTTCCGGGTTCCAAAACGTGAATGTGCATTATATTCGATGACGCATTAGATTTGAGTAAATACGGGTACATAGGTTTATTATACACTCAATTCATTTAAACTTTTTTGTGTAGGCAATTTGCATGTTTTAATTAAACCCATAGTTTCTGCAGATGGATTACATTTTTTTTACAGTTTTCTTTGATTAAAAAAAAAAAGAGAGAGATTTAATTCACATAATTGATTTTCATTTTTTTTGGCCATGAACTCGCAAGACAATGATTAAAGAAAGGATGTTTATAAGAAGTGTTCTTTTATGAGGTTTTGAGTTAGTGTGCCTTGGGCGAACAGTTTATGAACTACCAATAATATTTTATTCACTAATGTTTAGAAGGTATATCACGGTGGGACAATGCTAAAAACGAGAGTTCAGGTGTTAAAGTAATTAGCTGCCGAACGATATGTTTGAATTTAAAATCAGAATGACGTGTGATGGAGCTATCTCAGTGACAATGGAACACATTGATAATGGCTCACCAAAGTATCTAGTGCCAGTCACATTTTCCTAGTGATTACCACCTCCCTTACTCTCTCTGTTCCCTTTCTTTTTTCTTTCTCCCATACTCTTTATCACTCTGTTTCATGGTTTTATTTTTTTAAAGAGTCGTTTTAGCAATTTTCCTAAACCTGTGGGTCTTTGTTCTGCACTGCATGCTGGGTAGGTCTTAGGACACCCCCAGGTAATAAATAATATTTATTTTGTCATGTCAAAGAATTCATTGGTTCTGGTTCTGCCATATTGTTGAAATATATATCAATGATGCTTTGTATGTTTGGAAATCAAATTAACACAAAACCAATCCACTGGGGGAGCCTGGCATTTAAAGCAGTATTCAGTTGATCTTTGTTCTATACTGGGTTAACTTGCAGTGCTATATATGCTGGCATCAGAGGACCATTACAATATGCAATGTAGGGTGGCTATAGGTAAACGGATGTCTCATTGGGAAACCCTCATGGAAAAAGTCACAGGAGTTACAAGTGTTAAGCACAAGAGTTACTAGTGATTAGAGACTGAGTGAGAAAAAGTGAAAATGAGTGTGATCATCGGTCTAGCCCCTCAGCATGTAAATCATTTAAGACAACGTTGGTGGATGGAGTCAACCCTGCCATAATCTCCATAACTAGCTCACCTATATAGAGCTATTCATCTGTGTGACTGGCTATGTGTGCGTATAAGCAGGATATAGTTATAGTATTTATTGGGGTGCACGTTAGAACGACATCATTTTCCTATTTTAAAAGTAGAAATTGTGCGTGATACTTACTGTTCTACGATCATTTGGACCTGTTGTCAGTATGGATTGTATTAGAATGTTGGAGAAAGCATTGCCACATATATTTTTGAGAAAGCCCTGTCCACAATGGTTTGGGTCAGTAAATGGTTCAGAACCACTAAAGTTCTTTGGGACATGGAGCAGATTATAACTATGCTAATACAGATTATAGTCATGCTAATACAGTTAATATAAACTTAATCACACCCTCTTGCATATATAGTAAATATTTCAATTTTATTTTTTTAAGGCGTTTTGGCACTAAGTGTACTGCTTGTCAGCAAGGAATCCCCCCAACTCAGGTGGTGCGCAAGGCACAGGACTTTGTCTACCATCTACACTGTTTTTCATGCATCATCTGCAGTCGACAGCTGGCTACAGGAGATGAGTTCTATCTAATGGAAGATGGCCGACTAGTGTGCAAAGAGGACTACGAGACCGCCAAGCAAAATGGTGAGAAACTGTTCACTGTTCCCACATGCTGTAGATTTTTCCCATTTGATTTGTAAAGATATCCCCAGGAGATTTAAAAGAACACAGAAAAAGTTGATTTTTCCCTGCTGAGACTTTTCTAATATATGAATTTTAAAGCCATTTTAAAACCTCAAAGGGACAATCTAAGCACCAAAACCACTTCATCTTCATATAGTGGTTTTGGTGCACAGACAAAGCCCCGTTTGTCTGCAATCTTACCTGTGCAAAATGTTGTATTATTATTATTATGTTATTTATGTTATTTTACATTGTATTTTTACATTGTATTTAAAACACAATACCAGGCAAACAGCAACTTGAGGCTCTTTCTTTATAAAGGGACCCTACGGGCACCGAGACCACTTTATATTGATGTCTTGTTTTATAAATATAACAGCCAATGAGCACACATACATTTTACTGTAACAGCCAATGAGCACACATACATTTTACTGTAACAGCCAATGAGCACACATACATTTTACTGTAACGGCCAATGAGCACACATACATTTAGTTTAGATTTTTTTTCTGAATTTTGCTAACCCCTATCCCTTATCTTGAACCATAAACTATTCAAGGAGGTTTGGTCCATTGATCACACAGCTGATGTATTCTTCCCAGCTGGGTTAATGACCAACGTGACAGTGCACATCTTCTGCATACATAAAATAGATTCTAAATTCTTTATAAAGATACACACGGTTAGTTCAATCTCACCCACATGGTACAGACCTTAAAATATAAATTATTATTAATAGTAATTAATAATAATTAATAATATTAATAGTATTATATAATACTATATAATAAATGACATAGGATTGTATTTGTTTGTTTTCTTTACCATTGTTGTTTGGTACAATGTGTATACAGTTGCCATATACCACATATTTTCCAGAACAGATGTGCAAGAGAAGAAATCATTTTATTAGTAAATTTGAGCGGGATCCCAAAGGAACCTCCATGATTACCCTTCAGTTCCCTATTACAGCATAGAATTCCACATACAGTAGGGTACCACTTGCTTAACACCTGATTGGAAAGGTGCATACATGTCTAGGTAAACACTGTAGATTTTATAAACTAGATTGGATAAATACTGCAGAGCCTTTAAAGTAATAAACAGTTAGATGAGTCAGTTATTGGTAAAAAAAAAACAGCATAGATAGTGCTGCAAAACCCATACTACACACTGCAGGAAAGGCTTTCAATTCTACTGCTAGACGAAGCTTGAAAATGTCTGTAGGTATAGTTTTGCAATATCATTACATATAAAATGCAAATATGAACTCAATAAAATGGTGTGCTGTCTTGGAAACACATTTTTATGGTCAGTTCGTTCAATGTTTCTTTAAAGATGACTCAGAAGGAGGAGCTAAGAGACCGCGCACAACAATAACAGCCAAACAGCTTGAGACATTAAAAAACGCCTACAAGAATTCTCCAAAACCAGCGCGGCACGTGAGGGAACAGCTGTCATCGGAGACTGGGTTGGACATGCGAGTTGTACAGGTGAAGAGATAAGAAACACAAACACTCCCCATAGCGGTCGACAGATATATTATTGGCTAATAGTGATATAAATGGTTTTCTGGGAAATAGTTAGCCCATATATTTTTTCTTTTAGTTTCGGTCTTCTTTTTGCTCATGAAGTATGTTCCCGCACCATTTAGGTTTGGTTCCAGAACCGGCGTGCTAAAGAGAAACGCCTTAAGAAGGATGCAGGACGTCAACGTTGGGGACAGTTCTACAAGAGCGTGCGGAAATCTCGAGCTGGGAAACCTGGAAAAGAGAGCTCTACGGAAGACTGCGGCGTTAGCGACAGTGAACTCAGCTATAGAGGTAGATAATATTTTCATCAAAAATCATCATAAACAAATAGTAGTAAACACACTTTTTTTAATAAAAAGACCTTTAACAATTATGTAGATGGTATTTTTTTTCCTGATGAATGTGATTCAATAAATTACTGGTAACACTTTCTAAACAAAAAGTTTAAAGTTACAAAAAAAAGCAAAAATAAATTTTTTACTTAATAAATATTGAGCAGCTCCTCCTCTTAAAGTAGAAAGGACAGGAAACAGAAATGAATTTACAATAAATAATACTACCAATCCGTTAGAAGACAGGTTGGAATGTAATGTTGCCATGGTTTCTATTTTTCTGATCCAACCATGGCAACGGTTAACCAAAACTATATGTTTAACAAGATGGATAGATTTTGCAAAGTGTTCAGATAGCTAACAGGTACAATTAACATTACTGAGCTTCAAAATGCATCAAAGGCAGACATACACAGTTTGTCAGATTAGAAATAGAGAGAGAGGGAGTAGTTGGGCTTATCAGTGATGCTAATTGCATCACAGGTGACGTACCTGCTCACAAAGGCGGTGTGCCCTGCCAGCACGGATCCAGGGTAACAGGCTACCTGGCTGGGTAATCAATCAGATACGCTCAAATGCTGTGAAATGCTGTATTGTACTTAAGTATTTTGGCTAAACTGTCCTGAAAATCCCTCCGCTAAAAATTCTGAAATATTGTGAACAGCTTAAACCTGCTAAGACAGTTTGAGAACAGATGCTCAGGGAAGCAGTGCTTGCTCTGCCCATGTGTTATACAAATTATTAAATAAACAGGAAAAAGTGGAAAAAAAAAACACCTACAAAACAAACAAAACCAGACTTTAGTCTTACATGGTTATTTTGATCCCTTAAGAATGTTGTTTTCCTATTATTCTTTAGAAAATATTATTTACTGTGTTACCCCTCCTGGATGAAAAGTCTACCGAGGGAAAATAAAGCCATTAACTCCTTAAAGAACATGACAAGTCTGATGTGCCCCATAATGAAGGGATTGCCTTATGCACGATTCCCAAATGATTAATAGATCAGATTAAAACATCCGGGAAGCGAATCAGAGGAGCAGATCCATTCATACAACCTATCAATGTGAATAATTGTGAATTATAGTGAATACTTACTTCCACAAATACAAACCCATGTAAAAGTGGTCAACTCAAATGTAAAGCAAAAAATTGTTTTGGCAATTGGCATATAGTGTTTTTGATATGTTTGCAAACAAATCTATAGATAATCTATAATAATTACTTACTTGTTTTCTTCTGTTGGGACCAGGGTTGTGTCTTCACACCTGCTTTGTGCGTTTATACCAGCCCATACACAAAGATTATATGAGTCACATATACTGGAGCTGTGTGTCTTCACACCATCTCATAAACAGAGATTAAATCTATCCCATGCATTAGAGGAGTAGAACCAATCTAAGCAGCTGAGATAGAAACAGATGGCCTGTTGCAGCCGTGTATTCCACTGGAAAATTTAGATTTTACGAACTAACAGCCTAATTTACATAAACCAGATACGTCCTTATGCACCCCATGTACCAAAGTCATGTCCTCAGTTTAGATCAGTCCCTGGTCACTAAAAATGTGTTCACCCATGGAGCCACCTCTGTAATTCTGCTCTTTATGGAGTCTTCAGGAAAAAGGAGCTGAACCATGGCTGGACCTACAAAAATATTGGCCTGGCTGGTGAGCTTAAAATATACTCTTGGCCTGCTAAAGCAAACTCCTTCTTAATGGCCTTCAATTACTTTTTGCTGTGAGGGAAGGAGCTACCTTTTAGTTAATGTTGCCATGGTTTGAACTGGAAAACATATTCATACATCTCATCGACTATAAGTATCAATACAATAGCGATAAAACCATAAAATATATTATTCATAAATAAACATTATTTTTGTGTACAGTTGCATCGTTTTGTTATAGATATTACATTGCTCATACATAACTCTTATTTTTGAATACATTCATTTCTGCTCATGTACTGGAATCTCGAGAATACATTTGTTGGCCATTGAACTGTCTTTTTATAGAGCAATACGAGAAGCCATTTTTTTTTTTCTACTTGCAAAAAAATAAAAATAAAATCAGAGGCCGCAGTCAGGATTTAGGTCTCATTAAGAAAAAAAAAATGCTTTTTTTAGGTTTCATAAAAAAAAAAAAAAATAAATAAAAAGGACAATATAAACTCCCAAAATATGTGTAAAGAATTCTCCTCAGCGAATTATCTATGACTTAAAAGAAATCACTTAGGGTTTTGTGAATTATGGCAGTCTGTGTTTTGAATTAATGAACTATGGAATATTGTAATAAATCTTGTATTTATCAGCTCTTTTTTTTGTGCTGTAAGAATGTTGTTACCTTAGCAGAACTGTCAGCCTTTGGTAGTAACAACATGATCTCTTCGCCTCCAGTAAAAACCAAAGCAATATTCCCCTAGTCCATTTGTCAAATACAGCCATGAACTAGGCAATCGATCAAATAAATACGAACACTGAAGAAGCATTAATCATAACTCAAGATCAGCCATAAACTGCTTTATTATGATATTTCTGTGTTTAATATCCATCTGCTTATAATTCAAATCACTATCTACTATTTTATGCAAAATTAATATCTTGATTTTAGGGCAGTTGTATTAACCACTGCTCTACCTATTACAGCTTTTAAGCCATAGACCTTTTGTTGCTGACATTATTTAAAAACATCAGGGATTTTCCAAGAATTTCTCTGTACCCCACCTCCCAATATACTATTATTTGAAAATTATTTTATATGTAAAAGATATTGTTGATAGAATGTAAACTTATTTGAGGGGCCTCGCCATTTTCGATTCTTGTACATCCACCTTGTCTTGCTGCATCTACTTGTTCGTTAGTCCCCCTATTGTACAACACTGCAGAATATGTTGGTACTTTATACATAATTACCGTAATAATAATAATAATACCCTGAATGTATTTACTCAATGATCCAGACATTGTAATTGCTGAATTAGGTAGCTAAAATTTGAGGGCAAATCAGCAGCCCTTGGACTTAATTTGTATGATACGATTTGCACTTTAGTGTGTTTTTTAAGACCTTGCTTCATTTCCTTCAAGCAATAAGGGAGGGGTGCCAGAAAGTTGACGTTTGATGAATACACGAAGCAGTGATTTTTTTTTTTATAGTTTAGTATGCATGTATATATTAAAATACTGGCTTAATTCATCGTTACTGCTTATAACTGCGGGCTAGGCATTGAACTCTTACACAGACCACTCATGTTGCAGCAAACCTCACTTTGTAACATAGAAAATTTCCAACAATGCTAAATCCATTGATAATTGTTGACGCAATGGTCTTATTTGGGATGTTATTGTCCTTTTATTGCACTTTTTTTTTTTTATTCTTTATTTTTCATTTTTGGTGCATGGTATTTAAGTTTCACAAACAGGTGTGCACGTAAGTGCTCCAAAAAATGTAGTTTAAGTTTTGCACCAATTTTGGGTCAGGCAGTAACATATTCAGGAATAACATTAAAATGGTAAGCTTTTCAAGATGCTCTGTCGGGGTATGTCTGTATGTTTTGTTTACCCTAGCGTATAGGGTGAGGCATTATGTATTGTGCCAGCACTTGCGGATTGTGGGTCTGATGGTGCTAGCGCTCCGTGTGTGCGTAGGGGAGTAGGTGCGGCTATGGTGTGCCTGGGTAGCGCTAAAACCGTGTTTGTTAGGCTAGGTCTTTGTGTTGTGCTGGGTGAGTGAGTCTGTGTGCTATGGTGGAGGGTCACGGGTGATGCTTCTGGATTGATTGGTTATCCCTAACCAAGGGGGCAGAGGGGGGGAGGGGGTTAGGACTGTGGACGCCAAGTGTTTGGGCACAGATTGTGCTGGTTCTTGTGGTGTTGTCTAGTTTATGTCCCCTATGATATAGGGTAAGTGAGTCGTGGACCTGTGGTAGTGAAGCATAGGTACAACATTAAGCATTAGTGAAGAATAAAATTAAAATAAAATAAAAAAATAAAAACAAGACAAAAAAGAAGGGAAAATAACATAAAAAATAAAGTAACTAAATAAACATTGAGGTCTCAACATGGAAGGTATGCCACTGTTTTGTTGGTAAGGCTGGAGGTATCAGTCCACACCCTTCACGGTACAAGGTCTTGTGATCCGCTGGGTCCCGGTACGAACGGGGTGGTATTCTCAGGATCCCAGACCATCATCTGCAGTCTGTCCCGTGACACATTCGTGGAGCTGGATAGTCCCAGGGCGTCTAGGAGGGGTGTTGCTTCCTACACTGAAGTTAGAACATGTGTGGTTCCTTTGTGGGTCATCTCCAGAGTCCCGTTGGTGCCCCACCTGTAGGCTATGTTTGCTGATCGTAGCTGTGTGGTGAGCGGTCCATAGGATTTGCGCCACAGGAGGGTAGCTTTTGATAGGTCTTGGAAGAATGTTAAAGAGGAATTCTCAAACATCAGTGGTGTCTTGCCTTTCAGCCCCGCCATGATGTGTAGCTTGTCTTGAACAGTGACACATCTGAGGATGACATCTCTGGCTGGTGGGGTTTTTAGGTGTGGGGAGCTGGGTAAGCGGTACACTCCATCCATTATGATTTGCTTTATGAGTGTGTGTGGAAGCACAGTAGTCAGTAAGTGCCTGACATAATGCGGCAGCTTGTCGGCCGGGATCGTCATGGGTATGCCCCGGATTTAAATATGGGAGCGGCGTTGTCGGTCTTCCATGGTTGACATTTTGATTGCCATGTAGGTGTGTTGTTGCTGGAGTTGTTTGATGGTTTCGTCCATCTGGTTCATGTGAGCGTGGACTTTCACTGCTTCTTCTTCCGTGGCTCTCACCCTTTCTGTGACTGTGCGTAGTTCAGTCTTGAGGATGGCTGAGTCAGCTGCCAGGAGTTTATGGATTTCTGCTAAGAGGATTTTGAGGTCACGTTTGGTAGTTGGAGCTGAGTCATCCGTGGACTCCGGTGGCAGTGGCTCTTGTGAGCGCCCGGGTGAGTCAGGCCTGTGCTGAGTTGTAGTGTGTGCCCTCTCCGGCTGCAGTGTCTGGGGATGCACCTGAGAGTCAGAGCTCAGGCTTGCCTGGATTTGCGGCCTTGCAGGTGGAGGTGTCTGGGGGAAGCTCAGAGGGGCCAGGATCTGGTTGCCTTATGCTAGGTGCCTTATCCGGCTGTCCTGTCTGGGGTAAGCCAGTTATTTCAGGGCTCTGCTGGGCTGCAGTGGGTGCCTGGACAAGGTTTATTGCACTTTTTATTAACAGATATATGACTACATAGAGGAGACAACATACTATTAACTGCTAATATGTTGATTTGTTTGGATCTTTTAAAAAAAAAATGTTTAAATTCTTTATTTAATCCATCGTCAGACAAGAAATGCATTTATGAGTCGTAAAGGTGTACACAGACATATTCGATACAAGTGGCAACAGTCAAGAGATACATATTTCTGACCATTGTTTTTACATATTATATAGCATAGATCAACTGTGTTAATGCCATGAAGGCAATTGTGAGGTGCAATAAGGATACACATCGAAAACCCAGTTAGGTTAATAAAGTGAACGGTTGAACCATACAAGTAACTTATCACGAGAAGTAGAAAGCTCCTCTAATCAGAGTGTTGTAGGAACTTAAATGAATGGGGGGGGAGGAGGAGGGTAGGTGGCAACATTGGAGCTAGCATTTCTGGGAGATCCATGTAGGCCTCAACATTATGGACCTGAGGTCTGAAAAAAAGGAGAGTTCCATATCTTCAAATAGGTATGGGTTTTTTCCTTTTAGCATTCATGAAGGCAGTTTTGTCTTGTCCATTTTGAAATTGTAAAAGAAGATCATTGGTATGTAAAGCTTTAGTTAGCTGTGGTTTATGGAGTCGGAACATACCATCAAGTAGAATGCCTTTTGCCTATCTCGGGGGTAAGAGTGCTGTAAAGAGTCTCCAAGTGAAGTGGGATAGTTCTCCTGTGGTGATACTGTCAGCTATTCCTTTTATCTTGAGGTTTTTCCACCTCCTTTTGTCTTCCATGGCTGCTAGTTGGTGGTAGTTAGGGTAGCTTGGGAGGTGGTGAGGTCACTGACCTGTTTTTGGAGCTCTAATACTTGAGCAGTGTGTGTCTGTGTGTTCTGTTCCACATTGGCAAGGCGTGAGGTGAATTCCTTTACACCATCCCTGACCTGAGAGATCTCTGCAGAGAGGTTGTCAGCAGATTCGTAAGTATTGCTGTAGTGACAGGAAGGGATGTGCTTGCCGTCGGTTGCGAGGGTCTAGGTGGACCTCTATAGCCCAAATCCTCCATGTTGTGGAGTGAGGGGTCATCAGATAGATCTGAGAAGTCATCCAGATCTGCAGCCATATTGGATCCCGTCGCGCCATGCAGCCTCCGCACTAAATCCCCGATTTTCACAGTAAATCTGGCCCGATCAGGCCGGGACTTCTTGGACTTTCGCCCCATCATTACAGGTACCTGGTCCCAATTGTCAGCTCCCCTGTAATGCGGCTCGTGGTGCTCGATTTTGGGCTCTTTTGTGCCGCCGTACTGGAGCTCGGGTTGAGGGCTAGCTCCACCCCCTGTTTGGATCTTTTTATTAAGTCTTTAATACCTCATTCATATTTAAATAAATGTATCTAACACACTTCTTTTTTGAAAATAACAGATTTAAAACAAAATTGTTTATTCTCTTTGGATAAATATATATATATCCCAGAATTAAATGCATATTAGAGAGAAGCTGTAATAACAGGCTCCCTAATCTAAAAATTTAAAATGTTGGCTTTTGTTGATATTTCTACAATAATTATTTGAATTTGTGACACATGTATCAAACAGTTGTATGAGCTATTGCACCTAGATCAGAGCTGTTGGCCCAATGAGAGCATAACTCTGTCAGTAAATTGAACTCAGACGGGTCTAGATTGATGAACGAGATATTTTTGATTAATTAGGCCTTGTGGTAAAAGCAGTTTCCTTTAAGTCAACCACATGGAGATAGAATTGCTAAACTCTAAATATTGCCATTTTAATGGTACAGAAAATAAAATAAAGTGGTACAAAAAAAATAAAGTAAATATACAGAGTTAATAATTCAATAAATGTGAAATAAAGAAAAATTTTAAATAGAACACTGTTCGTAAATATTCATATTCATAACATTCATTAAAGTGATGTAGTAATAACTGGTAAATTAATCATTGCATTTTCATTCCTTTGTGGTCATATCTACATATATTAAATTGGTAGTAGTGTATACTTGTAGTGATTAACACTCTTTATATGTGTTTAGTCTAAAACCCAGTTCTGTATCCCCCACAGATGACCAGATCCTTTCTGAACTTGGATCCAGTGGCATTTACAGTGCAGGAGGGGATCTTGTGAGTGGGCCTCTGGTGAACGGGGGATTCACGATGGATGGAACAGGACAATCATACCAAGACCTTCATGATGGTAGCCCCTATGAGATACCACAGTCTCCTGCTTCTATTTCATCACTTCCTTCACATGGGCTTCCCTATAGCATGGACAATGCAGCTGGGCTTCTAACCCACCCACCCCACAGATCATTGCCTGCAGCTCCCACCTCTGACATCTCCACAGGAAGCAGTGTGGGTTACCCAGACTTTCCTACTAGCCCGGGTTCATGGCTAGATGAGATGGACCACCCTCCATTTTAAATCTAAAGTTGGGCCCCATCTTTTAGACCATGGTTGAGTTTGCCAAACTCTGCAGACACCACATTCAGCCTTTGGAAGTCTCTTGAGCCAGTATCATGCTCCCCAAAATAGGACAATCCAAGTGGACAGTGCATCGACCATATTAACATTGGAACTGGTGAGAAAAAGTTAGAAACTCTCAAAGACAATGACCAGCAACACAGTGTACTGACAAAATGGAATGTTTGCACTTTTGGGGGTTATGTGTCTCCCGACCTAATCATGGGGGATCAACAAACATAGCTTTCCACACCTCTGAAGGAGTAACATTACACCCTACGCATCGATATGTGTGTTGTCTTGCAGCTTGAGGACATCATCGGCCTCCATGTTCCTTTTTAAAGGTGTAGGGAAGAAGTCTTGTACACGCAACTGACAATCTATTTCCTTCACAATGCAGCATCTAGCGCATGTGGATCTGAATTGTATCTTTCTGAATAAATGTAGGAGAGTGAAATTGTGAAAGCCTGACCCATATTGGAATCCTGATAATCACGTTCTTTTTATTCATGTGTGGTAACAGGGATAGGTAGAATGTGGCACTTCAGCCCCATTTGTTTGCCACTCCTGCTGCGTTACTTAACCATCCAAATGGGAGTTTCCATCTTCTGCTTAAACAGAGGTTGACCTATAGGTTGTACATACTAGCACTGAGTATTTCAGCTAGCGGTAGCACAGAGAGTTGCTAGTTTGTAGCTGTGGTGGGATTATACTTCCTGGTTGATTGTTGGAAGTACAAAGGTTTGGAGGATTGAACTCACAGGACTGAGTAGTCATTTAACACAGGGTGTAGCACATTTTGCCAAATTACAGTGTGTATGTGTATATTTTATATAAATAAAGTCAATACACAAAGCCAATGTATCTCAAACACTTTTAAAACCAATGTGCTAAGCAACGTGTTAAGTTTCTGTGGAAGAACTAGTGATTTGAGAGCTGGGTGCACAAAAGTTTTTTTTTTTTAAGAACATCAGTACATTTGTATATGCTGGCAGCCTTGCCGGTAGGTGAGTCTGAGGAACTGGGCACATTTAAAGGAAACAAACAGAACGTTTGAGGATGTGACCCAGAGCAACACAAATAAGCTTACAATCTTAATTTCGTAAAAAGTTTAATTTATATTTCAGGAATTAAAAAAAGAAAAGCACGTCTGGCCTTTTGGTGTTCTGTACAGAGCTATTAGACTGGTTTATTTGCCAACATATACATTACAGTATGCCAGTCTACTTATTATCCCACAAAGAGTCCATAAGAACTTGCACTTAGTTTCCAGTATTGGTTTTCAAAAATATTCAGCTATTTAAAAAAAAAATATATATATATATATATTTTCATTATTATTTTTATGCCAGACACTCCTAGCAATGTAAGAGCATGCCATGCAAATATTGTAATCCAAATGGTGCTATGCCCTCAGATACTATAGAAGAAAGCCTTCCCTAAAGAGCTGACATTCTTTTATAGTTTTAGAAGCATGTCTCGATGAGCTCTGCTTGAAGCAATCAAAACAGAATTACAATTCTAACAGGGCTATTTACAAAAGTGACAATTCAGAGTGAATTCGTATTTAGGGTCAAAAACATCTGAACGGGGAACATTCTCTAGGTTTGCTATGCTTCCAATTCAGCTACTTTACTTTGAATTGTCACTTTAGTAAATAACACTGTTAGACTGCAAGCTCTTCAGTCTAGTGTTTCCTGTGATATAAATGAGATTAAAAAACAACCAAACCAAGTCTTAGCCTGCGATAATGCAGATAAAGAAACAAAAAAAAACCCTCTCAATTTCAAGTTTCCTATACATAATTGCTAAGTTTTTAAGATATGTTGTGAAATGGAAAAATAAATATGCAAGTTCTTCAGGTAAGGCTTAACAGAGGTCAAAAGATTTTTCACAAAAGCTCTGTGGGGCTCCCAGTTCTTCTTGGGATGGCAGACATATTGTGGGGCAGGTCATAGGCTGACAGATACTTACCTCTGGTATGTAGGATTGGGTACAAGGATGAAACAGCAAAGTAAGTGAATAGGGCCTGCAGAGCCAATCGAAGTACAAGTTGTGTGCCCCAGCCTCTCTCCATTGTCAGTCTTGGACTGAGACTCTCTCCCTTTCAACCGAATAAGTGTTTGCTCAGTGACAGATAAAAGGAAGATGGCGCCACACTAAATAAAATATATTTCATGGCTCTCCGTCCTCTTTGAGTGTCACCAACTTGGACAATTGTTTTATGGTTTCCTATTTGAGCCAGGCTCACAGTATATCCTGCAAGCACTTGCTGCTTATATGAACGCAGAGGTGGGGTTTGCTCGTACTGCAGTGACGTGACTTTGACACAGTGGGAGATGAGGTAGACTGGTTAGTGGCACATAGAAGGTTGTGAAGAAATACAGTTGTCCCCAGAAAAAGTAAATTATAACAAATGACTATTTAACAAGCAGATTGTAGAGTTTGTCCTCTGGTTCTAAATTTTATTTAGTAGACAAATATATACTTTTGGTGCCAGGCCCTTTCAAGGCTTGGGCTTGATGCATAGCAACAGCCACACTGCCCAATACTTTGAATATCTCTTGCACACAAGAATAAAGGCGCTTAGGTTAGTTCATGAGTTTGTTAAACACCCATCTCCCTGGTGGGTTTATATGCCCCCTCCCAGTGTTGGAAAATATGAAAGCAGATTAATATCATGTTCATCTAATTATTTAAAATATTAAATATTACTTGTAAAGCTGCCAGTTTATCACTGAATAGGAGGCCATCTTAGAATGCCATCATACTTGTAAACATTAGAGAAGGTACAAACACTACTCTTAAAGCGCAACAGTGCAACTTGGCAGGATTTTGCACAAATCAGTAGATAACTGAAAGTGTTATTTATTAATTGCATAATATGCCAGATGCCAGGGCATTCTTGAAGAAGTTACTTGAGAGCTGCGGCAACAAGGGGAGATGGAGGCACAAGCATCCAACAGTGCTAATGAGGTAAGTGTGATAAATGCTTACAGCCAGTTCACATCCACAAGTATAAGTGAATGAACTGTCACTTTCAGAAAAGTGAGTTTTTCATTCAAAACATATGTCAGCCAATCAGAACCTGGGATTTCCATAGTTAAATTGATTCGATTAGTAACAACTACCTAAATATTTGAACTCCCTGATTTTAATGAAAGCTCACTGTGTTCATAGTCCAGACCAATAGAATTGTTTCCTTTAATGAAGATTGACTAGTTAAAATAGATGATACAAAATATGTTGGGAATTCCCACGTTCTATAATGTGCCCCAAAGACAATTACTGAATCCAGAGCCACTCTACCATGCGTTTATATCAAATATCATATTTAAAGATTCTCAAATACATGTGAGTTATTGATCATGTCTATTTTTGATTTTATTGTTCTTGGAAGTTGACATTTTATAGAAGACTAAGGCTGACCATAGGCTACTTTCATGAGTGGATTTTCTGGTCATTGTCATAGTTGAAATTGTATTTTGATATGAGAAAAAAAATCCTGAAAAGCATTTGCTTGCTTTCTCTTTAATGTAGGACTTATTCCAGTGATAATAATATATACGTCGTGAGATATATTATCTAGTCCAACAATGTCCAGCCATTACAATTCACCTCAGCAAAGTATGTCACCTTGTATAACATTTACATTAAAATGCTTGATCATCTCCAAAGTCCTCTTAAAGCAAAGCTTCTAATAATGTATGCTCATGAAGACACCATCAAAAGGTCTGGGTTCAGAAGATAGCATATTAGCACATTCCCCACTTAAGACAGTTAATCTCCATGCACACATTTCATTGAGGTACAAATAGTGTCCAAAAGCTTCAAGTTTATGAATTCAGTACCAAACGTCTACCCATCTTCATTATTGTACACTCAACAGACTATGCTACCAACACAGGCTTCACATCTACACATTGTGATTCCAAAAAAAGTCTACCAACACTGGTTGTCCATCACAGTAACTCATTTACTCAGTATGATCCCACCATTGACTAATCTGTTCATTCTGATCCCAACAGTCTACCCGTCTACATATTCTGATTTAATAAAGCTTCTACCCATCTACATACTCTGATTCCGAAAAAGCTTACTCAGTTATGCATTCTGATCAATCGGTCTACCGGTTAATGCATTATGACTCCAACACAGCCCGTTTATATACTCATTCTTAACTTAGCCCCTTATGGACACACGACGGAAATATTCCGTCATGATTCCCTTTTATTCCAGAAGCTGTGTCCTTAAGGGGTCAACATGGTCTACTCATATATTTATTCTTAATTATATGATATTATCACAACATAGCTTCGCACACAAACAGCTAAGAGAGAACATAACTTTTCATGCTTTGCAGGGGAACAATACATTGCATATCAGATGGGCAACTAAGGTGCATTCTGGCAACTAGGTACCCAATCATGGACCTACGACCACGTCAAGAAGTACCAAAATCCACCAAGTTCAGATATTCAATCATGTCAAGTGCAGCAAAAAGGTAGTATGAAAACTTGCCAATGTTGAGAAACAAAGTCCTAAAGCTTTGACACTGGATACCAGAACTTGGGTCTTGCAGTAACCATCCAAATTGCCACTGAATTGCCAACCACTTAATGTATTTTTCTTTTTTCAATTGCCATCTAAAGTGAGTTATTTACTAAAGTGAGAATTATTTGGAGTTCAAAGTAAATTTCAAATTTAAGGCCAAATTATCTGAATTTAAGAAATTACCCTGGCCACCCATGTCTCCAGGTCAGCTATTTTGGTCTAAAATTTGAAATTCTCTGTGAAATTCAAACAATTCTCAAATGAGTAAATAACCCAATAAGAGTTCATGGCATATACTCTGCACTGTGTGGCCCACATGCCACAGAAGGAATAGCACTTGAAGAATAATTTATTAGAGCTACAAGGAGACCTTCCATTCACAGCAAAAAAACATGTTTAGGTTTTCAAGAAAGTCCAATATTCTCAAAAATTCCTAATACAATCGCCGGTTAAAAGTAAAGGCTGCCCATTTACACAGAATATTCCCAAAATACCAATCAAACTTCAGCACACATGGTTACAGCATGTCCATCCCATCTGCACACCATGGTTACAGCATGTTCTTAACATACTCAACCCATCTACATATATCCTGGTTTCAATCTCCCCCCCACCCCCCCAACCCATCTACACATCATGGTCTGAACATATCCAACTCACCTACGTAGTATACCATGTTCATAACAGCATGTCCAACCCATCTACACACCATGGATACAGCAGTAAAACCAATCTACACACCCTGGTCTCAACAAACCCAATCCATCTTCACACCCTGGTCTCAACAAACCCACTCCATCTTCACACCCTGGTCTCAACAAACCCACTCCATCTACACACCATGTTCCCAACAAACCCAATCCATCTACACATCATGTTCCCAACAAACCCAATCCATCTACACATCATGTTCCCAACAGACTCAACCCAGGTACACAGTCCTACCCCAACACACCCAGTCCAACTACACATTCTAATGCTAACACATCCATCCTATCTACACACCATGATACCATCACACGCTGTTTATATTTACATTCTAATCACAGCATAGAATTCCACATGATATTTTTTGGTCCTATTACAGCTGTTCCATTTCAACATTCTATCCCCAACACTATAGTTCTATAAGATGAACGGGACATACTCCACCCAAAAGTCTTAGTATTAATGGCCATATTTCTTTCCATACACATCCCAGTCGCCATAGTACATGCCCTAAATTAGATAGCAGTCAAAGCTATGCATCTCTATTTGTCAACTTACACACATTTGCACTGGCACAAAGCACATTCTATAACATCGATTACCAATCATGACAGCACAAACCTAAACAAAATCACTCCCATGCCATGACATGCCTTTTCTTTCCTCTTCTGTGCCACAGTTTGCCTATACACAGAGGCCCATGAGGCTAACCCATGGATAGGACTGGCACTCATATTCTGATTTGTTTTAATTTGATTTTTCTCAATAGTATAACAGCTTGTTGTCTAAATGGGGTAATCTACACACATGAACTAAGTAAGGCACATTCAATGACTCTCTGTCTTCACTGTATTCAGACAAATATCTGACGAGTTTGCACAAAGTATCGCCTTCCCTCACAGTGTAAATACTGTACAGTATTTGAAGTGAATGTCCTGTGATAGTATGTATTTATTTATTTCAATGTGTATGAGAAATATCCACGTGTCATTATTATCATACATCTATGTAAATAAATGTCATCCTTCTTATCAGCTTGACTGTTGAATCGAAGTTTGTTCTGCTTGTCTAAAAAGTGCAGTAATGGTTTACTTTGACAGTCCAGATTAAATTTCCCATGATGCTCAATTTAGGGAATGTCTCAGGATTACGGTCCTTCATCTCACAACCTATAAAGTAACCCCTTTAGAAGGGCACTCAGCCATTTATTGAACACATGATAATGCCTTGCAGATGCAACGATGATAACATTTGAATTATGTTGTTCTCAAATCAAAGCACCAAGAATGCGTACATAGCCAACTGCTCTAAAACAGATGGTCTCTGAAGCATTGAATATTTATTAAATTGACCAAGTTTTAACTGGAGGTTGGAACTTTTTTTGTTTTTGTTTATGTTAATGTCAGCTCTCAGTCCTTTTGATGGTTAATATGGCCAAAGCAAAAGGCTGATTTCATGGAAAAAAATTTAATTTGTTATAAAAGTAACTTTTTTGGGCATAATTCACTCTACATTTAGAGACAACAGGCACGTTACCTCAACAAGCAGCAACTGTTAGAACACAGAACCAATGTTTTTGTAAGACCTCTATGTGATTTTCAAACGTGTGTGGAAGAGTGGGCACATCAGTGAACCAATTTACCTGCCACAACGTATTTTTTTTATATTTACAACACTAAAAATTTATTGGCTTATGTAAGAACATAACATCCCTAGGAATCATATGATTTGAGGACAAATATCTACATATTTTAGAACTCTGGTACCATAGCTTGACGGACAATGGATTTCCTTAAGAAGCAAGGCTTTCCAATACTAAAACACTGATATGGGATATTGGGGGGGAGGGGGTGACTTTTATGATGTGTAATGGGCCAGCTCATCGTTAGTCATCAGATTATCATTGTGCAAGTGAAGAAGATACCAAATAGATATAATAATAATACAATTATAAAAGTATCTGTTCCAGCTCTGATGCACACCTTTTGCCCAGTAAGTTCACAGAATGAGATGCATAGCAAAAGCATTTCTGAACATTCCTCAGAAAATGCAATTTACGGTGCAGGGCTAGGGGGCTCTTAGAATAACTCCAGCAAGGTTGTTTACTAAAGCGAGAATTGTTGGGAATGCAAAATGAATTTACAATTTAAGACCAAAGTAGCTGAACTGAAAAAGATTCTACAAGTTAGGTTTGCTTCCAGTTTGGCTACTTTGGCCTTAGATTTTAAATTCACCTTGCATTCCCAAATATTCTCACTTCACTAAATGGCCCTGCTGCTAACTGCTTTACCTTTGCATAGAATGGATTGCTAAACTAAATTATGCACATACACCAGTGCATTCTGAAAGTAGCATATTGGAGTGCAGGATGTCCAGAAAAGCAGTTTTGTAATTTAAAAAAAATAAGAAAAATGTATTGCCTTTAGATGGCATAATAGAATTTTATCACATTTTAGAGATTTTACAACCACAAGAAAAAAAAAAAAAAGGTACTGAACTAAATGGGCTAGTGAACAAGCAGCTGAAATAAGATCATATGTCCGTTAAACAAACAAAAACACAATAACATTGATGTTGTGGACTACATTTCCCAAAATGCTTAGCAAGCCACATAGTTGGCTGAGCATTACAGAAACATAGTCCATAATGGCACCATAGGTTAGCCATTACTGTCATAAGCCCAGATTCAACACTCAATCTCCCCTCCCCCCCCATTCTCCCATCACTGCAGCGGCTGGTCTCAAACTCTCCTCAGGCTTTATTTATATCGTTCTTTTTTTAATCATTTTAACATTTAATGCTTCTCAATTAAAGTGTTTTTAGAGTGGATCCAGCTTAAGTTGTGCATTAAGCACTTTGGTTAGCGGTAGTTAAGGGTAAGAACGGGGATTAGAGTTGAGCATGTGTGCGTGTTGGAGTGTGTATGAGCGCAGAAATCTCCACTCTAAAGCAGATTATTGTGCAGTAACTCCAATAGATAGGACAGTTGAAAAGTGATCTGAATACAGATTGGCAATGGAGTTAACACCTTCACTGCCAGCAATTTAAAAGATTTTCATTCTGGAATTTAAAAAACAAACAAACCGATTTTTAATTTCACACACATCCAGAAGGTGAAACTTACATGTACAATTTAGTTGTTTTGCGCAAATCCATTGGGATACTTATACATATATATATTATTTAAATGATCAATCATGTTTCCAAAACATTACCTGCCTTATTCTCTGCAATGTAGTACTTTGTAAGAGCATACAGTGTCTTTAACCCCTTAAGGACCAAACTTCTGGAATAAAAGGGAATCGTTACACGTCATGTGTCCTTAAGGGGTTAATCAAATACACGTTAGTGCTATATATCTTCTCTCACAGACATAATTCGGTTTTATTTCAATGGGCAGATCATTTTTTTGAATGCTGAACAGATGGTAGCATCACCTGTGATACTATTTGCTGAAATGAATGGAGAATAATGCACAGATCACCATTGAGCAGTTCAGAGACCCTAAACTCATGCATGTCCCCAGTCTGTCTGAGGTTAGTCGGAGTCGCACACCCGACCAGCAACTGCCATTTAGAGGTGTAACGACCACTAATCTGGAAGTAGGTCTTAGACATGGACAAACAGCCCACACATATACACACAAACGCAAACTATGGGAATGCACAGGGTCAGACACACAGGATTATTCACTAAACTCTACATTTTTGCAAATTGAATCCAAACAAAAAAATTAAGGCACAAGGTGGAATATTACCAGATCAGCTATTGTTGCCTTTTTCTTCCCATTCGGTTTAATAATAAAAAAAATTAGAGTTTAGTAAATAACTCAGTCAATGTCCAGGGCTCTGAAATTTTTTTTATGTTTCCGGATAAATAGATTGTTGTGACGGACCAGTAGATTGGGCAGTCTGTTTAGTCCCTTGGCTAAGTAGATTCTTTTAAAATGTCCACACACCTATAATACAAATATCATGTAATATAAAACATTATATATATATATATATATATATATATATATATATATATATATTATATATTATATATATTATATATACACACACACACGTATAAATTGCATAATAGCAAAGTGGGTATTATGGTAAAATATGGCACATATGACTGTGTCCTTAAGGGGTTATTTATTTTAACGTAATGTAACTTTTCAGATCAAAATATCTTGCTTCAAGCAACAATTATGCCATATTTATTAACCATTTAGTAGATGATACAAAGAATTGTTCTGTATCCCTGCCTTAAAGATTTATACAAGTTTTAGAAAAAAAAAAAGACTATATGATTTTATATATTTTTAATGGATTCAAAGATCACCCTCAACTGGGCACAGAGACAGTTGTTTTTATAATGTTTTAAAGGACAATGTTGTGATAATTAACAACTACAAATTAAGAGATAATACCATGTTGAAGGGCCATAAATAGGTTTCACAAATGGCACTTATCTTTCCAGTTTTACACAGTTAAGGCAAATTTTGCATATCTTAATTTGCTGTTAAATACTTGCCTAAATGCAGAACAATGTGTCCTTATGTATAGAAAGAAACATCTCATTGGTTTAAATGGTGACTATTTATTTTGTAACAAAATTTCTCTTTCTATACATACGGCCCAATACTTGAATTATGTTGAATCTAAGATGCAAGTGGTGCTCATACATATATACATAGATTTCAGAATACGCTTTTCTTTTAAAAATAATCCGAAACCTATGTAGTGATATTTACTAAAACACGGCACTACCAATACAAAGAAAAGATGGATACAGAGAGATGTATAAATACTGTTTCCTCCCCAACTCACATCTGTTGATCATACAATTCAATTAACAGGAATATTATTCTAAAGAGTAATAGATATCATATAAACTTATTTACACACACAAATAGGGTTTAGTGTGGTACACACAATGCAGAACTCAATGGAATAATCATTAAATTTTATTTCCCAAGGAAAGTAGCCTATAATAGATATTATGTGTTCAAAAAATCTTTGCTAACCTAGGCTGAGGCATCCAAACAGCAAAACAGCGGGTTCATAAAACTTTTTTGTCAGGGACCAATTTGTCATAATATGCATGTTATTGCAAAATGTATTCAGTGTCACATTCTAAAAATGTAATGTAAAAACACATGTATTCAACTCAAACCAGTGTCAAAGTCTCCTCCATTACAAAGGCAATGGCAGTACTCCTACAGTAAACAACTTAGAGTTGGCAGATGCCTGTGACCTGACCCTACAAATGGGGAACCACTGGGCCAATTTTGAGTCCCAACCCAGGGGTTAAGAAGCATTGCTGTAGAAGGAACTGGCACATGCAATTTTCACCCTTTCGTGCTGCACAATTACCTGTGTCAGTGAAATTCAAGAGAAGGAAATACATTTCTCTTCATTTGCACAAAACTTAAAATAAAATAACCGCAATTCTCAGTTTAAAATAAGACAACCAGAATTTTCACCAGTTCATATTTTATGCTCCGAAAACGAGCAAACTAAAACCAAAAAAAAAAACACTTGACTTCTTCATATGTTCTTACATACAGAGTTACAAAAGGAGGCAATAAAGAATGAAAGAAAACAAAAACGGAAGTCCTAGAAAATGACTAGATGAGGCCTCAGGTGAATTTGCAGGATGAGATTTATTTTGGGATTTCTGAAAGGCTGGGGGGCTTGTCGTGTTCGCCATAGGAGGAGTGCTGTAGCAGCATATTAGAGATTTCTTTGCTGTCGGTTGCCTCGTGTGGCTGAAAACCATCGTTGTCAACGAGAGAAGGGTCAGCACCGTGGTCAAGGAGAAGATCGACTATATCCGGGAACTCACAGGCAGAGGCTGCAGTGCAGAGAGATTTATTAGAGCATGCAACATCCCATAGACAGAAGTCATGTTAATGCTGTGAGAATCTTAAATAAATCATACTACAATGAAACCAGCGTCTTTTTTCCTTGAGTTTCTAAGCATAAAAATGTAGTCATTTTAGTTATATGTAAAAAAAAAATTATTTGGATAGTGTGCAATAGAACAATGCCATGATTTATTAATAGAATTCCCCATTACACTACAAAGGAATAAATAATCCGTTTTACCATTTGTTGACTCTGTATCCCCACTAAGTCATTGATGGAGAAGCTGTACACGTCTGCTATTTGTGCAGCCTTTCTGCTGGCTGAGTATCATGGGAAATGTAGTCTATATCTAAAATGACAAGGTTAGCTATCACTGCCCAAATCGGGCCCAAACCAAGTTGCTTTTGATCTACTTCTATTAGGTGTTAAAAAGCTTCAATCTCAGAGACACATCTACTTATGGAGGGTTGTTTGTGCTGAACTAGGCTGCCCTTAATTTAAAAACAAAAAACAATTACAAACTGGCGTGTAAATTTCTTTTAAGTAAACTAAAGGACAGGATCACAACTTTTAAATGTGAAATTTCTAGGACAGCAGTGGCTAGACCAGCACACCGCTACACACACACAAACATATACACAATATTTTAGTCACCCTCCTGTTTCCTACCTTTTAGATGCAGGAGGGCGAATTCCGTGGGGTCCAGTTGTGGCTCAGCCTGATGGGTGTCAGAGTTCCCACTGACTCCCTCCTCTCTGCCTCCCGCGCGGCTCCTGTCGTAAGCTGGGAGGAGTGACAGGGTCCCCCTCTTATGTTAAATAGTGCCCCCACCGGTCGCTCATGGGTGGGGGCCAGACAATAGGGTGTCTCCCCCTCCCCCCCATGTTACTTAGTGCCCCCACCCGTCACTCATGGGTGGGATGCAATATGTTCCCCTCCCCCCTTGATAATTAGGGCCCCCACCTGTTGCTCACGGGTCGGGGCCGGGAGACAATAGGTCCTCCCTTGTTACTAAGGGCCCCCACCTGTCGCTCATGGCGACAGCAGGGCCTCGAGTGGGGAGACACTATGTCCTCCCCCTCGCTCATTAGTTCAGTAGGAGAATTTACTAATACTAAGTAATATTTACTTAGTATTAGTAAATTTGGCTGATACCGTGGGAATTAGGGAGCTATCTACTAAGCGGCAGCCACAGCATGGATCGGATTGGAATTTAATTCATTCTAATGAAATTTCAAACCGAATTAAAAGTAACGAATGTGCCCCTAACATGAATAAACAAACTGTTCTCATTCTGTTAGGACGAAATTCGGTAGTTTTGCCAGCGTTCTGTCTAAATGAGAGGACATTTGGCAATAGAAAGGAGGCATTGCGAGATCACGGAGGAAATTGTGGTAAATTGCTCTAACCACAGGAAATGGAGCACACTTCTCCTCTGCTTGTCATAGCTGGTCAGGTGTACGACAAATATATAAGAAAAAATAGTCCCTACTTTGACTTATGTTTTAAAGAAAAATAGAGCAGACAGGAAGAAATGAAGAACAGATCCTGAGAGAGGAAGAGAAGAGGAAGCGATTGGGGAAAGGTAAGTTCGGCGTGTTGCTTTAAAGGATTTAATTTACATTGGAAAATCTTTCCGCTTTATTTTTCTGACTTTCCATTTTACATTGCTATGCTTCCTGGAAAGGATTAAAGTGTGTTTTTGATCAAATCATTTAGGGTACAACTTGAATTCCACTTATTAAATTCCATAAACTGCTCATGAGAAATTTGTTGCTTTAGCTATCCTCGCCGGTTTCATCAGAACTGCTATATATAGACACACCAGCACCGCCTGGGATTTAACTCATAGCAGATGACATCTTTAAAAGGCTCCTCAAACATTACTTCAAATATTTTTTGGAAAGTAATTATGTTTTATCTAAGAAAGGCTACCACTTCAAAACCAAGATTACATTTCTTTTTAAAAAGTGATGACATGAGGCATGCATTTTCTCCCGCCTCCTCCTGCAACAGATGGGGACAATTCTGATCTCAACCCCTCTCACAATACAAAAATAAAACAAAACATCTAGAGACAGCCAATTTCCACTGGGAAATGTAGAGAGCCATTTACAGCCCTCTCTCAGGGCAACTCATGAATGGAGGAGGCAACCAAGAGGGAGGGGAAACTGATGGGCGACCTTGGATGGTCTTGAGAGGAAAAGATGGATTTACAGACATTTTACACGGAGTCTGACCTCTGATATTACCCGTAGCTGTCAGGTGGCTGATAACTCATGTGAGAAGAGCAGCAAACAGCACAGAATAAAAATATATACTTGGGGGCAGGCAGATGCTGTGTGGGAGTACTTTAAGCAGACAGATCATCGTATGTGAAGATTGGGTCACCGTGTTAACGGTGTGTGTAGAACTCCAATGATCTGTGTCTGAAGCCCTGCTACAAATCTGAAAATTAAACTCTTGCCCATTTCTTCAACACCTCTTTCAGTGTAACAAACCACATATTTTCAGATTGAACAATAGAAACTCCCTCCATAGAAACAACCCAATTTTTCCATCATGGCCCCTGCAATGTGGCATATTACTGATTATACCGGGCTTGGTGTTGAATGAGAACTATTAGTGTACAATCCTGGCAAATTCAAAGAATGGGACACAAAATTTGTTTAACACTTTGCAACTCATATACCTCTAGGAACATTTCAGCAAGACAAATGTTTCATATCCGTACAAACAAAATGAGCAAAAAATTTAATGTAGTGAGAACTACTTAAATGCCTGAATAACACCCTAGGTCCATTTAGTGATTTTATATATACATATACAAACACACACACACACACACACATTATATATATATATACACAGTTGCAAGAAAAAGTATGTGAACCCTTTGGAATGATATGGATTTCTGCACGAATTGGTCATAAAATGTGATCTGATCATCATCTAAGTCACAACAATAGACAATCACAGTCTGCTTAAACTAATAACACAAAGAATGAAATGTTGCCATGTTTTTATTGAACACACCATGTAAACATTCACAGAGCAGGTGGAAAAAGTATGTGAACCCCTAGACTAATGACATCTCTGACAATTGGAGTGAGATGTCAGCCAACCAGAGTCCAATCAATGAGATGAGATTGGAGGTGTTGGTTACAGCTGCCCTGCCCTATAAAAAACACACACCAGTTCTGGGTTTGCTTTTCACAAGAAGCATTGCCTGATGTGAATGATGCCTCGCACAAAAGAGCTCTCAGAAGACCTACGATTAAGAATTGATTAATTTGCATAAATCTGGAAAGGGTTATAAAAGTATCTCCAAAAGCCTTGCTGTTCATCAGTCCACGGTAAGACAAATTGTCTATAAATGGAGAAAGTTCAGCACTGCTGCTACTCTCCCTAGGGGTGGCCGTCCTGTAAAGATTACTGCAAGAGCACAGCGCAGACTGCTCAGTGAGGTGAAGAAGAATCCTAGAGTGTCAGCTAAAGACTTACAAAAGTCACAGGCAAATGCTAACATCCCTGTTAGCGAATCTACAATACGTAAAACGCTAAAAAAGAATGGATTTCATGGGAGGATACCAAAGAGGAAGCCACTGCTGTCCAAAGAAAACATTGCTGCACGTTTACAGTTTGCACAAGAGCACCTGGATGTTCCACAGCAGTACTGGCAAAATATTCTGTGGACAGACAAAACCAAAGTTGAGTTGTTTGGAAGAAACACACAACACTATGTGTGGCGAAAAAAAAAGGCACAGCACACCAACCTCAAAACCTCATCCCAACTGTGAAGCATGGTGGTAGGGGCATCATGGTTTGGGGCTGCTTTGCTGCGTCAGGGCCTGGACGGATTGCTATCATCGAAGGAAAAATGAATTCCCAAGTTTATCAAGACATTTTGCAGGAGAACTTAAGGCCATCTGTCTACCAGCTGAAGCTCAACAGAAGATGGGTGTTGCAACAGGACAATGACCCAAAGCATAGAAGTAAATCAACAACAGAATGGCTTAAACAGAAGAAAATATGCCTTCTGAAGTGGCCCAGTCAGAGTCCTGACCTCAACCCGATTGAGATGCTGTGGCATGACCTCAAGAAAGCGATTCACACCAGACATCCCAAGAATATTGCTGAACTGAAACAGTTCTGTAAAGAGGAATGGTCAAGAATTACTCCTGACCATTGTGCACGTCTGCTCTGCAACTACAGGAAACATTTGGTTGAAGTTATTGCTGCCAAAGGAGGTTCAACCAGTTATTAAATCCAAGGGTTCACATACTTTTTCCACCTGCACTCTGAATGTTTACATGGTGTGTTCAATAAAAACATGGCAACATTTCATTCTTTGTGTGATTGTCTATTGTTGTGACTTAGATGATGATCAGATTACATTTTATGACCAATTTGTGCATAAATCCATATCATTCCAAAGGGTTGACATACTTTTTCTTGCAACCGTGTGTGTGTATATATATATATATATATATATATATATATATATATATATATATATATATATATATATATATATATATATATGTGTGTGTGTGTGTGTGTGTGTGTGTGTGTTTGTATATGTATATATAAAATCACTAAATGGACCTAGGGTGTTATTCAGGCATTTAAGTAGTTCTCACTACATTACATTTTTTGCTCATTTTGTTTGTACGGATATGAAACATTTGTCTTGCTGAAATGTTCCTAGAGGTATATGAGTTGCAAAGTGTTAAACAAATTTTGTGTCCCATTCTTTGAATTTGCCAGGATTGTACACTAATAGTTCTCATTCAACACCAAGCCCGGTATAATCAGTAATATGCCACATTGCAGGGGCCATGATGGAAAGATTGGGTTGTTAACTATGGAGGGAGTTTCTATTGTTCAATCTGAAAATATGTGGTTTGTTACACTGAAAGAGGTGTTGAAGAAATGGGCAAGAGTATATATATATATATATATACACACACACACACACACACACACACACATTTTTAGATTTCAGACTTTTTGCTACTCAAAGCACAACAGAAGGCTATACTTCCCAAAATTCATCACTGCTAATACCTGCCCATCTACCCTTATTCGCCACCAAATCTCCCTCAGATACCATGGTCCCTTTCCTCAACAGTCAAGATCCTTCCACGATGCACTCTCAGAACACCTCGTCTGCAGCCACAATTTCTCCCCACTTAGATCCCTCCCTTCAGTCACTTTATACAACTCCCTTAATATCTAACACACCATCATCTACAGCAATGTCCCATCCCTCTCAATATAGAATAGATGATCGCACCCTAAGCATGTATGCCCTTATTCCTTCGACAGCCCAAATCCTCGAGCTATATTTCCTCAGCCGTGCCCTCTACCACAATATTCTGACCTATCCCCTCAGTCTCAATGGCACCCCCTTCAAAATCCAATGTGCTTCTAGCAACTATATCACATTGTCACCTGACGCCTCCTTGTGGCATCCTCCTTCAGATAACTGCCCGCATACCATGTTCCATTCTCACACCACAACTACAGTATAATAAAATAAACAAAACAAAAAACATCCCTGAACAGCCACAATGCATTACATAATATTCATGTCCCCTCCCCCAATAAACTGCCGTAATCCCACTATATCAACAATGCCTCCCCTCAACCCCCATCCCTAGTCTGGAATACATGCCATCCCATATCACTTGCAAATGGTTAATGGAATTTGGTAAGGCAATTCGATATTAAGGCTTCTTGGTTAAATAAAGGATTAAAACAAGGGATAACTGTTAAATTATGGATATTTGAAGGGGTACCTGGGTAATAAATAGAGCAATGTTTAGAAGATAAAGGGGGAGAAAATGAAAATACTGCCATTCAATTCATTATAGATCTCACACTGCACTAGTGGGAGGATGGGTGCCTTACTTACCATAATGCAGAGGTGTCTGTCCTTCAGAATCCTAGAAGAGAAAAAAAAAATCCAACAACACTGATCAGCCACATTGTAAAGGTCAATCAAGAAAAACTAAAACATATTTCTCCTGAAGAACATTTTTTTTTATATTGTTTAGTTTTTTTGTTAACATGTTTTGGAGAGAGCAGAGGCGATTCCAGTGAAACTATTTTTTTTCTACGGGGAAAGGCAAATGTCATTCCATTACACAAGCTTAGTGACAAAACTTTTTACATCTATTATTTATTAGATTCGATTTATAAAATATTTTACCAGGAAAGATACATTGAGATTTCTCTCGTTTTCAAGTATGTCCTTGTGAAGTATAATGTGAATTTAGTATAATCTAGAGCAGGGGTAGGCAACCTACGGCACTAGTGCCATGCACGGCACTCAAGGTGTCTTTGCACGGTACTCAAGGCTGCTACAGCCAAACAGGCTCTGGCCTATCAGGAGTCCCAGTGAAACTTCAGATATCTGCTAATACGAAGAGGTGGTGAAGGACAATCCTCAATTTATGCATTGCAGATCACTTCCTCCCAACACTTGTGAATGGGAATCCACAATGTAGTAGAGCAGCTTGCAGCTGCTGTTGCAGCTCCTGTCCTTGACCTGTACCTGGCCAGCTTGGTTCCCACTGGAACCCAGGGAAGCTACCCACACTGCTAGATTTACACAGAAATGCACAATAACCCTCCCCTCATACAAATAATACTAACAGCCCACACGGTACGTTCGGTACTTTCCGACACGAATAGACGCACCCCAGATAGCCATCCCATGGAGCCCGTTCGTATACCGAAAGACAATGTGAAAGACTTTGGCTCCATGGCGATTGAACTGCATGCATAGGATCTGAGAGGCATTCGGTAATAATGTGCGCTCAGATCCCAGCTATCTGGGGATACGTTGAATGTGGGGATTCTGTTCGTGTAATGTAAAGTTATTGATTTTATTGTATCTTTATGTTCAGGTACAAAATGGAGTTTAGCCTCTATCCATGGAGATAATTTGATTACTTCCCAATTATCTCCAGGATAGAGAGGAGGGTTTATCTACATCAAAGGGGAGTGTTTATGCTTGTGCCACTGTGATTGGCTACTGTATCCACATTGTCCCAGTCTTCCATCTGGTCCCCTAGGGGAATGTCCACCAGGTGGGAGACCTGCATAAATACCAGGCAGGTAGCCCTCAATAAACCAGATCTCTGCTTAATCCTCAATACGAAGCTTGGTCTCATACTTGGGGGTATTGGATTCGGATGATTTACTCGTTCAGCTGTTTGGTTCGTGAAGGATTTCGTATGGTTCCTGTTCAGCTAATTGGAACTGCTGTTAGCTGCTTCTTCATTCGGAAAGGGAACGTCCTCAGCGATATTAACCCCTCTTATACCGGGGTGTACTGTAACACAGTATAAATAACACAAGCAGAATACGGCTGCATATACACCTCAATTTAAAAAAAATAGGACCGGCACGCTACGGGACATCACAATCCTATATCGGCACAGTGCTGCTAAAAGGTTGTCTATCCCTGATCTAAAATTTACTAACTAGCTACCCCTATTAAAGGGATACTCCAGACCCCTAAAGCACAAGAAGAGCAGATTGCAATAGAAGTTGTCAATTACAGTCAGGGAAAAAAAAGAAAGTACACCCTTTTTTTACTTCTACGGTTTTACATATCAGGAGGTAATTTGTCCCTCATCAGCAGGTCTTAAATTTATTAACACATGACATAATACACAGTGTCATGATTTATTTAGCAAAAGTAAAGACAAAATGGAGAAGCCATGTTTGAGAAACTAAGTACACCTTTACTGCTTCCAAAGAATTAAGAAGCCAAGTAGCAGACAGGTTCTGCTAATCAAATGCCTTTGATGAATTGATCATCAGCAAGTGTGACCACCTCTTTAAAAGCTGAAGTTTTAGCAGTTTGCTGGTATGGAAGATTCAGGTGTGTGTTAACACAATGCAAAGGAGAAAAGACCTCAGCAATGATCTTAGAAAAACGATTGTTGCTGCCCTTCAGACCAGGAAGGATTATTAGACCATTTCCAAACAATGTAAAGTCCATAATTCTACAATGAGAAGGATTATTCAAAAGTTGAAAACATTCAAGACAGATGACAGTCTTCCCAGCAGTGGACGTCCCAGCAAATTCACCTAAAGGTCAGACCGTGTGATGCTCAGAGAAATTTATAAGCATGTAAGCTCATTGAGCAGGGCCCTCCACCTCTCTGTTCCTGTACGTCGAGTTGTCTAGTTACAATTAAATGTCTGTTAGTCCACCCTTTGTACAGCGCTAAAGAATCTGATGGCGCTATATAAATAATAAAATAATAATAATAATATATATATATAAAAAAAAAAAAACATGAGTTACATGTCAGATCTAGAGGCCTCAGGTAGCATGTTAAATGCTAAACTTCATGACAGCACAATTATAAAAAGACTGAACAAGTACAGTTTGAGAGGTTGCCAGGAGAAAGCTTTTTATTTCTAAAAAGAACATGGCTGCACGATTTAGATTTGTGACTTCTGCAACAATGTCCTTTGGACAGACAAGACCAAATTGGAGATATCTGGCCATAATACACAGTGTCATGTTTGGAGAAAGTCTACAACAGAATGGCTGAAAAAGAAAGCATCAAGGTGTTGCAATGGCCGAGTCAAAGTCCAGACCTAAAACCAATTGGTTTTTCCAACACATGGCTTCTCCATTTTTGCTTAATAAATCATGACACGGTGTAATATGCCATGTGTTGTTCATCTGAGGATGTATTTGCCTAATTTTAAGAACTGCTAAGGAACAGATGACAGTTATGTCCTTATATGTAAAACCATAGAATTCAAAGAGGGTGTATTTTTTCCCCGAGAGAGAGAGAGAGAGAGTGTGTAAGAGAGAGAGAGAGAGAGAGAGAGAGAGAGAGAGAGAGTGTGTGAGAAAGAGAGAGTGTGTGTGTGAGTGCTGGTGCCTTGTACAGCCCCCATGGCTGTCAGTCAAGCAACTGGCCTATTACTTCCTGGTTGCCTTGCAAAGGCTTCTCATTGAGAAATCTGTAATTGGCCAGCTACAAAAAAGAGGAGAGCGTGCAAAGGCTTCAGACAAGACACAAGATATACACCCAATGAGGGGGGGGGAGCATAATTAAATGAATGCATTCATTTTGTTTCTGGGAGGAGGGGAGGGAGCAGAATGTCCCTTTAATGGAGATCTCCCAAAGCTTCATAGGAGTTGCAGTACAACAACAGTTGAGAGTGTGTTAGCTCTTCCTAGAACAATCCAAGAATTCTTAATGCATGTTGGGGCCCTTGGGGGGCACATGTTTGGACGTAGCTCTGTGACACATCACTAGTTCAAGCTGCGAGAAAAGGCAGATCTTTCCACTTTATAAATCCTGCCCTAATTACGACACCAGTCACATTCTGTTATTGGCCGACAGGTTAAGAGAGAAGTAATTAAATACTGGTACACCCATCTGTATCTATAATTTCCCAGCCAAATGCAGATATCAAGAGCATGAACAGGAATCATTTCAAGGGTGCAATCTCATGTAGTTTATTTAAAAAAAGGGATATAAAATGTGTTTCATAAAGGCATATACTTCAAATTTCATCACGATTTTAGTCCACTATCTATGGGACACGTATATTACTTTATGGAAACCTGTCCAACTAAGCAAGTCTCATTATCTGAGATTACCATGACAACATAAATACATCATCCTTTTGATAAAATAAATCATTCCACTACATCTATGAAAATATATAAAATGGAAAATAAAAATAATGTTCCATCATAAAACAGAAAATGAAAACCAAATCTGTTAATTTATAACAAAGCAGATGATTTGGAAATTTCCAACTCAGCTGTAGTGACAGCTCAGTTATTTTAGCCTGAATGTTGCAGTTCTGTATTTAATTCAAATATATTTACTGTTTAGTAAATAAACCCTCATGTATTAGCAGCAAAGCTTAGGAATCGGAGAAGTTCTCAGTCGAGTACTGGCCACCACTTTAGTTCATAGTGAAAACTAAACTGACAGCGATCTTAAGAGGTTGGGTCCCAAGAGGCTAGATGCAGAGGGTAATGAATACAAGAGATACACAAATCTGCAGAGAGTGCTTCTGTGCACCACCTGACAAAGCAAGCGACAAGGGGACAGCTGATTGGGATGGGAGGATGGGAGGAAAGGCTCGTGTGAGCCCCCCACACAGTTTTAGCATCTGAGGCCTGCCACACGCTACTGATTGGATTAACATCTTAACTACCAACAGATGAATAGCGTGGGCCTGATGGGATCACTGAAGGTAACAAATGTCTTGCACGGTCTCTGGAATTATCCCCTTGTTGCTATGGATATAGCATGAATTCCACTCCACATTGTCAAAAAAATAGTCCTTACATGAAGAATAATGGTACAGAGAAACATGACAGCAAACACAAATTCATTCTTACTTAAGCTTAAAGGGTTACTCCAAGCACCACAACCATTACAGTCCGCTGTAGTAGT